GCTGCTGCTTTCTGTCTCCTCCTCCTCCTTGACTCTGCTGGTGCCAGACTTCTATTTACTAAATGCTAAACCTCGAGAAAGAAAAATAGCCCAGAATAAGAGAGTGGCAGGACGGCGACAGGAGGCGAGGTGCATCGCGTTCCCCGGCCTCCCGGCCTCTCGCTCCCTTGGACGCCCTGCGACGCTTTATTAGGCTTTTATTCTCTGCCTTTATGAATATGCAAGTTGTTCCCTGTGAGGCGTCTGCAGGACTGAACAGAAAGTATTTATGACATAAAATGAAAAAAAAGCATAAAAAATATATATACAAATTACAAACAAACATACAATGATATATATATAAAAAAAAACATTAGTGCAAAGTTGTAGAAATACAAAAATCAGCATTAAAAAAATAATAATTACAAAATGTGTAATAACACTGTGCTTGAGCCAAAAGCAAAGACGAGGAGCTTATCCTGCCGTTTGCCCTGGGTTACTCCACCATGTCTGTACCGTCCATCAGTCCATCCTCCTGCCTCTGATTGTTCATACCCTCTTTGTTAGACCAGGACATCTGTCCCTTTTTGTTTGATCAGTACCTCTGTCTCTCTTTGTTAGACCAGGACCTCTGTCCCTCATTGTTGGACTAGTACCTCTGTCCCCGTCGAGCAAAGTCTAAGTCCTGAGTTATGACAAAAGAAGTGAAGACTGGTTGAATCAGGACTTTCACAGGCGTCTCTCCTGCTCGGGACGAAAGCCTTGCGTGACCTGTAAACGTCTCGTTGTGCTTAATGGGCAACTAGCAGTACGACCCAGAGCGCTACGCTAGGCTATCATACGACTGTGGATGGTAGACTCCTCATTCAAAACTGCTTCAAACGAAAAAGTCCCAAAAGCCTGCAGTGGAATGATATTATCTTTGTACATTTTGGTCTCTTAATTCTTTTGTTATTACTTATTTAAAAAAATATAATTTCATTCATATTCTGTTGCTGCTGTAGGGAAAAAGTCTTCTAACTTCAGGTTTGGTGAACTTCAGTTGAGGGATTCCTGTCGTTAAACTCTTCTTCATGAAAGAATATAACCGTAGAGCAGCCAGTGGTCTTCATCAGATGATGACACCGTCAGTGAAAGAGACTCTGCGGCTTCTTCCTGTCTTTTCCTGCCATTTTTTGCTTTTGAGTTGCACAGAAGCAGGGGCTCGGATGGGTGAGGGTTCTCCGTCAAAGGAAGACTTTCCTCGGCCGGTGCGAGTCCTCCGCGTTAGCGTTCAGGCCTCTGAGTGTGTTTGGTTGTGGATTCAGCCTGGCAGTGTCTGAGCTGGTTTCACAGAGACTTGTTGTAGCTTAATCACATGGAGGAGATCGATCTGCTGTATACAAGCAGCTGTGCAGATCCGGTCTTTTATTGCTATAGCGACTGGGAATGCATTTCTCTGATTGTGCTGCAGTGTTCGTGGGCAACAATATGTACAATATGTAGAAGAGAGAGGAAATAATTCCGATCCTTCACTTCCTCGGAATGCCTTCAGCTGTGCGTGCATTTGTGCAAAAATCTGTATGTCGGGGCACATTAGGGTTTCTTACAGTCAGTAGCAAGAGGCTGGATCTCGGTTCTTGGACTAGGGGTTAAGGGACCGCACGCTTTGGCAGTGACGAGTCATGTTTTAAGAGTGGAGCCATCACTGCCAGGGCATTCTCTTGGACGCTTCCCTGTCCTCCAGCAGCTCCACAGTCGGGGTGGGAGCTGGCGTGGGGTTGGGAGTGGAGTGGCAGGATGGTTGTAGAGGCAGCGTGGCTGTGGAGGACGACACCGGCATGTCCAGGCTCTCCAGGGAGTCCGAGAGGGCTCGGTTGGTCTCGTGCTGGGGACAGAGGACGTAGCGGTTGGGTTGGTGGACCTCCACGGTGGTCACGGAGTCCAGGCCCTTCAGGCAGAGAGGGGACGGCCCTCCGGCGGGGTCGCGGCCGCCGACGGCCCCTAGCTCCATGGAGGACTCGTCCATGTTGACGTACAGGATCTCGTCCGGGTCCTGAGTGTCCGGCAGATCCTCGAGGGCTTTTTCCAGCTCGCAGCACAGGGCCTCGAATGAGGGGCGGTCCTTGGGGCTCAGCAGCCAGCAGGAAAACATCAGGGAGTAGCTGGAGGGGATGAGCAAATGTTAACTTCATACTCAAAACATGTGAAAAACATTAACACTTCACTGTGTTGGTCGCTGGTTGCCTAATATTTTCCATTAAACTGTCATATTTTGTATGGAATTTGTTTGGACAAGACTGCACAAATTATAGTAATTTATTAAGATTTATTGTTGTTAATATACCTGGATTTCTCCAATACCAATTCTATGTCTTCTATTTGAATTACTTTTAACTATCTTTTCATGCTTTTTACAAACTAGGAACTTGCTGGCTTTGAAAGTTATCTGAATTTGTCCTATAATTAAAACCAAATTATATATTCCCTTCTGTGGAATATTCCTAGGACATCGTTAATAAATCATAGGAAAAAAGCTGCTTTTCAAAGTGTTGTTTAGCAGTTTAAGGTGAAATTAATTTTCAAAATGTAATTTAACAAAATCATTAAAATATCAGTCTCAAGCATATTGTGAGGAAGGGTGCAAGCTTTTGTTAAATTGGAAGAATCTATATTTGAAAAAGAATGGTTCAGTAAAGTGTTTTTTAATCTTTATGAAACAAAGCATCATCAGACCTCTATGAAGAGCAGATAGACTTTAGACTGTTTTTAGCCTCTAGCCATGACTGGTTTAAAAAGGTATTTCCAATCAGAAGGCAAAAAGATTTCCAAGGTACTTCATTATCAGCTGCCAGCTATCAGAGAGCGTCTTGTGTGGAACGTGAGAGTGAAGGAGGCAACACTCACATGCTGTCCAGACAGTCTGGAGGCTGTTTGAGACGGTTTCCTTGTCTCAAGTAATCATAAATCTCACTGTTTTCAACGCCGGGGTACGGAGTCTGGCCCCGCGTGGCGATCTCCCACATGGTGACTCCAAACGACCACTGAGAGAGAGACAGATAGTGAAGAGGCGAGGGGGAAGGGTTAAAGAGGTTTAAACTACCTTTAGCTTTTACACACCTTGCCACACACTTCTCAGTTTTTAAAGAGTAAAAATGACTCAAACTCTATTCTCTGGAGGGTAAACTCTCCTATAACAGCTTCATGCCTCACTTATCCCTTTAACATTACGGTAACCTTCAAGCAACAGTCTCCCAACATCTTCTTTGTACCACACTCAGCCCCTGTAGACATGAAAGGTGGCTGTTAAAGGTTTGCACAGTACTTTCTTCCATGTCAGACAACTATTCCAGTGACAGCTTCCGTCTGGTGCTGTCACTCTCCTTGAAACTCCAAATATTTGCCTCAAAGTAATGTAATTAATCATGTACTGGTGAAATAATGATTGATTAGGAAACAATACAGCGTGCCAATGAGCTGTAGAGTAGGATGCTTCCGATCGTCGGATGCGTCGGATCAGGGCCTTTAGATGGAGGTTTTGATTTTTGTTTCTGCTGTGAAATTAACCACCGCTGAAACAATCCAATTTCAGCAACAACTTCAGCTCTTTTTGAACCTCAAAAGATATATTTTAGAAGAGTCACTTTATCTTTATCCTAACTGTAAACTCAAGCCAAATAACCCTAAAATATATTGTTAACCTTGTAGGAACCGGTCCCCTGATGGGAGGGGAGTCCCCACAATGTTGAACTGATTTCGGGTCTAAAACAAGCACACACACACACACACACACACACACACAGGTGAACTCACCACGTCGCTCTTGGTTGTGTAGACGCGATCGGCCAAGCTTTCGATAGCGATCCATTTGACGGGCATCTTTGAGATCCGGCCCTGCCTGTAGTAGTCTCCGTTGTAGATCTTCTTGGAGAGGCCAAAGTCGGCCACACAGACATTCATGTTCTCGTTCAGCCTGAGGCAAAGAAACCGCAGTGTTACAGTGCTGCATTGTTGGGAAAAGAGGAATGGTGGAAAATAAAATCTCACATGCAAAAGTGTCATGACTTCGCTTCTCGCAAAATCTACTTTTGGTTCTGTTTAATCAGCTCTTCAAGAGAAAGAGAAAGTGATAAAACAAACAGCAACCGAGAAAAGTGGAAGCGGGGGAAGGTTGTTGTGCTTACATGCAGTTGCGAGCAGCAAGGTCTCTGTGGATGAAGTTCTTCCTGCCGAGGTACTCCATCCCTCGGGCAATATCGGCCATGAACTTTACCAGCATTTGAGACGGGAGGTACTGCAGGACAGCACAGAGACAACAGGGTTTTAGTCACACACTCACACACAGCTGACATTTCTTTCCTGTACAGTAGAGGGAGCCAGAGTCCGACTCTCTGAACTGAATGCTCTCTGCTCCGGGTACTCGCCTCCTCCTGTGGGAAGAGCGAGGCTCAGCGCCGCTGTGTTTTGTGAACGACTCCAGAAACTCGTGGATGTTTCAACATTCTGCAGGATTCTTGTTTTGATTAGGCTTGTGTATCTCAACCCCGGCTCTCCGGGGACGTACTGCGTGTAATAGTTCTCGATTCCAAAAAAACATCTCATCCGTTAATAAGTGAAGCTGCGGAGAGCAACGACAGACACATATCTTGTGTTTTCATGAAAAAAAGGTGTATGTGGGGACTGTAAAAAAAATACTGTACTTGACGTCTTTGTTGACCTTTGGATCCCTTTTTGCTGACAGACATTCAGGTGGACTTATAAACCCTGAACCCATTAAGCTGTTAGTGTGGGACTGTGTGCGTGTGACTGCCTGCGTTTGCACGTGTGTGGATGTGTGTGTGTGTGTGTGTGTGTGTGTGTGTGTACGCGCGCTGCTTTCATGGCTTTTATTGTGTGAGATTGGACTTACCACGGGACAGTCTCCCAGCCTCGAGTAGAGCAGATAGCTGTGCAGGTCTCCGTGTTTCATATAGGGCAGGATGACCACGGGGGAGGGGTAACCTTCACTCTCCACAGTCTGCAGACACACACCTGTGAAAACACAGCAGCTTAGTGTTATACACACTACATACATCTTCTGTGCTTATAGAAGTTAACACAATGTCTCAAAACTGCTCAGTCTTGGATTTGCTAATTAAAGAAGTCTGTATTTTAAAGGGTCAGTTCACCCAAATTACAAAAAATAAACATGTTCTCACTTACTTTTCGTGGTATTTAATCATGCACATAGTTATGGTTTTATTTGCCCAGGTTTTTGTCTCAAACATTTCGTCTTTACATGGACAGCGTCCTTCTTACTCTCGATTATCTACAGAAAATGCAAACCAGGACTATTTCTTTTGGTAGAATGTAGTTCCATTTAAAACTGTTTACAGTGTAGTGTAATTTATAAGGGAACCTGAAGAATCCTCAGGAGCTGACCCGTGACGTGCCGGGCAGAATGAATCCCTACTCACCTAGAAGCCTCATGACATTGGCATGGTCAAACTCTTTCATGCAGGCCGCCTCGCGGAGGAAATCTTCCATCTCTGAGCGGGTGCAGATGGCAACTGGGGAAGAGATGATATATGTGGTGAGACGATTTTGTATGACTTGCTGCACACAAAATATATTTAACTTGATTCCAATTCTGTTAGTAGTTTTTACCACTAAGTAAGTTGAAACTGGCAGAAATGGCAAATTTTCCCAATCTTCTATCCCTAAAAATTCATCTTTTTCCGCTTAACAGTTCTTACACAATTGTCTTTACTTTGCCACTGCGATTCAATGTCAATGTGGGGTCAACTTTTTCTTCCGCCAATATTCTTCACAAGCTGCATAGCTATCTGTTTTTCGATAAAAAAAAAACGGAAACTTTTGCCCCCCAACACTTGTTAATCTCCGACCCGAGGGGATGTCCATCAATTGGCCTGTGTTTCCCAAGATGAAGGGATTCATTGTGGTGATTGCTGAGTACTTGCACTGTCTACTCACTCTTCATAGTCTTCACTGCAACTTTGAGAACAGCCTCCTCCTGAGTCAGCAGCCCCTCCATCACAGAGCCAAACTCCCCTGAAGAGAGAGAGAGGAAGACGCAATCAAACACCCAGTTTAGAAGCAACATCAAAGACGGACATGACATTAGTGCTATAGCGGATAATACCTGACTATAAACCAACCCTAACATATTACGCCACGTTACATATCAACCCCAGTCTTTCCTTGTAATACGTCTGACACAACCGACCAGAACAAAGCAGTACCTTCTCCCAGCGTCTTTCCCAGGGTTAGTTTATGTCTGTCCACCATCACGTCTTGGAGCTTCTGCTTCAACTCGTCGCTGATGCCCAGGCTGTTCACTGAGCAGAGGGGGAAAAAAGAGGAATTTTAATGGTGTGTGAGACTCGAAGCAATTTAATGAACATCGCAGAAAAGAGAGAAAAACAGCGTGACTGTAAAACCACAATGCTCGACGCTAAGCCAAAGACAAAGTGTTGATAAACACTACCAGCTTGAATAACAATGGAAATAGGACTATAAGTAAACTAAAACCACCTTGTCTACTTGTAAAACTTTTAATTGCAGAAAAATGATGGTTAACGTGGGCCTAACATTACATTATTTGGCTTTTTATTAATGTAATAAATGATTCAGTATTTTAATGCACAAAGTCCTGTTCCAAAAATACTTTAAATGTCAATTATTATATCTTACAAAAAATCAAACAAAGATTTTGTAAAAGTAAAACAAAAATAAAACTTGAACTAAAAATGCCAACTTGAACTTCAGCGTAGCGGAAAATAGAGGCGAAAACTATACAAAAATAAAGACTAACTCAAACTCAAAAACTTTAAAAAGTCAATTGTGCAGAGAGTGTGTGACTGTTCAGGCGCGGGACACGTGACCATGCGATCCCACAGGGGACCCGGTTGGGGAGCTGAGGTCAGAGGATTTGAGCTGCTTTGAAAACATCCCTGGCTCTCCTCAACCAGCTGGCTGTCAGTGAGCTCTACGTTGGCGTGCAGACTGCGCTACAGACGCTTAGCTCTGTTTCCACATCTGGGCCGGTGACAAGGCAACGACATGCACCAGAGATCCCTCGTCCAGCTGCTGCTACACTATCAATCTGCCAATGCGTCCGACAACAATGTGCTCAGTCCACAGGCATGTTCCAACACATGCTGGAGCGACCGGTTATTAGTCGATGCATGCCATAAACCGGAGCCTCTGGAGTTTTTTTCCTCGACTGTGTCCTGAGAATTGGCCCCAAATCACTGGTCAACATTAGCAGCGTAAATCCCGCCCAAATCCCTCCAATCTGACCCCTTCTTTTATTCCAGGGAGCTCCCCCACCCCCCTCCATTCACTCCGAGTACAAATTATCTCAACATCTCTTTTTTTCTTCTTTTTTTTTAGGGGCTGGTCTGATTTTACGCACTGAATAACTATTTTTTGCCTTCCCCCCTGGCCTCTTTGTGGCTGCAGCAAGCTGAGACTTGCCTATGAGAGGTTCAACACAAATATCGCACATACACCTGGGACAATGTCACGGCCTCTAATGGGACCCAGCTGTGTGAAATTTGAGTTTGCGCACTGTGTTCACAGGTACGTATCTCTGTCTGTAATCACGAGGACTTCGCAAGGGGAGGGGGGGGGCTGCTCGCTGGCGATGGCACACAAACCAGTGCTAATCACATGCTTTGTCCTCCACCAGTACAAGGTCCTAGCTCCACCTGGAAGAGACCTTTAAACCCACCCCAGAGGTGACGTGACCGGTCATAGCAGGTCAAGGAGTGGTACGTCGATGTCGTCTTCATTTCATCTTATAGCCCCAACAGTACAAGATCCTAAAATGTAGCCAAATTTAAATCTAACGTTCACGCCTGGTCATGCAGCTCCACCAATGGATTTACTGCACATCTAATCGATGTGACTATGAAAAAGATGAAAGATTGCTTTACAGATCAGAAGGGCTACAGTGTTGTTGTGGAGTACATCAGTTGACTTGAACACTCCAGGGCTGCTTTCACAGCTGTGGGGCTGCGTTGTTCGCGTTCCTGCCTTTGATCAACCAAAGAAACGCAAATCCCATCTCGAAACGCGGAGAACAGAACCATTAGTGTGCCAAAGGAGATCCTTCCCTTGAACTGTCAGATCGGAGCATAGAGCGTGAGAGATGATGCTGTTCTGCTACCTTTGTTTTTGTGTATCACTATCTATCCCGGGGACAGAGGCAGGTTTGGGCACGCTGAGAGACTCGTCTCTTGCTGCTTTAGGGGCAGTCGGGAGGGATTATAAGTCTTCCTCACTGGCATGCAGGGGCAGGGAAGGGGGGAACTCACGTGTTGCTTCTGTGGTCCTGCGGCTGTAGGTGCGGCGAGCGCGGTACCTGACCACCAGCTCTCCGCTCTCCATCATGGGTTCGAACGCCTCCCTGCGAACGCAAAAACACAATGAGAGGCCTCGTCCTGGCAGATTGCGTAAACACAACTGTCTTCTACTCCGTCCAAATGCATCAGCATGCATGCAAAAGTGAGGCAACTGATTTTTTTTTGGGTTTGGCACTGCTATGGCGTCCCTCCCTTTTCACCCAGGAGGAGCGCCAGCAGCAGCCCATATACTCACCCAAAACGCGTCTCCTTGCTCCGCAGCTTGGCCACGTAAACGGCCATGAGCACAGCTATGGACACAGCGCCGGCGACGGCCATCACCACATACCACCAGTGCCAGGAAAAGGCCGGGGGCGAGGATGGACCTGAAGGGGGAAAGGAAGGGCGTGTGGACAGAGACGGATGAGGGTTTAGTCATGTGGGTCTTTTTAGGATGATGGACAAAAAGAAGAGATCATGTTTTGATTTATTTGATCAACTGAACAGAGCCAGTGTACAATTTGAAATTAAATTCCCTTTCTTCATTCCATGGTTATTTCATGTTTGTGATATCTTCTCGCAAGGCTTGTAAAGAAAACAATGTGTACTTTTTACACACATACGCAGCATTATTGTGAGGAAAACTATGTTTCAGATGAGGTCATTCCTGCCCTCCATGTTTGTTGAGTTACATCGAAACAATTTCTACTGACTAAAAGTATCATCCTTCTTTTCCTCACTCTCAAAACATGTACTTTGTCTTCGAGCTGTCCCATGTCCCCAAAGCCGCAACTATTCTTTCACAACCTCCACCCACAGTTTTCAACTTGTCCTCTGAATTCACATCCCTCCACCCCCCCACCCCCCTCCCCCAACTTCTCTTGCCTCCTTTTTTTTCTGCCATTCTTGTTGTTTGAATTGTCTGTCTGGCTCTATTAGACTAAGCAAACAGAGATGCTGCACTGTTCCTGCCCGTTATAAATATTTATGATGCATCTCCCCATTCCACCCCTCTCCCCCCCTTTCCCGTCTCTCTCTCTGAGATCCTCTCTTCTCTTTTTTTCTCTCCCTTCCCCTTTTTTTCGTGAGATACACAGGAAGGAACTCTCTGGAACCCAGAGACAGAGAATAAGAAAAGAGAAGTCCTGTGGTGAAAAAAACAACCTGCCATGAGCTCACTGTCACTGTGTCATTATGTGTCACTCTGAGAGGTCACAGCAGAGGGTGTTTGAAGGTTTGTATGTGTGAAGCCGGTCATTACTCACCCTTAAGTTCCTCCATTTCTGTGGGAGTTAAAAAAAAAAACAGAGCCCATGTCAATATTTTGGCGCTGGTTTATTTATGCAGAATATATGAAACATCTGACATCTTGGAGGAAAAAGTGATTACGGTAATTTTAAAGTTAAGGTCAGACTATTCCTTACAAAAATGAAATAGGAATCTTAAAAAGTTATTGCATATGTTTTCATTGGCAGTTTTGACACTTCTTGTCACTCACCGGGATCAATAAGAGTCAGGGTCTGTATGGGGGTCCAGGGTCCTTGCCCCGCCCCTGTATAGGCGCACACTCGAAAAGACACATTGGAGAGGGGGACGGAAACGTTGATTGACAGCTCTGTGTCCAGGGCGGTGTTCACGATAAACTGTCAACAACAAGAGGGAAACGGTCATAATGAAGCAGATTAAACACTTTCTTTGTATCTTTCGGAGCGACGTCAGACACCATCGCCTCATGCGTTTCGTTTATGAGCGTCCCAGACTGACCTGCTGCGTTGCAGGCGTGCTGTACTCCACCAGGTAGCCCTGGAGCTCTCCGTTCAGCTTCCCCGGAGGCCCTTCCCACGTCACCAGCACCTCTGTCCCGTTCAGCGCTGCGCTCACGTTGACCGGCGGGTTTTCTGGCACTGAAACACAAAGTGGCAAAAACACAACTTGAAGGCCTTTCACTTCTCACCCAGTTACATGGATTTTTAACTCGTTCTCAGGGCGTGGCGGCGTATGTGTCGAAGAAGTCTCTGGGTATGAATGAGGAGCCCGCAGTGCAGTGACTGTGGTGGCCCGGGGCCGGGGGGGGGGGTTAGCCAGGCGTGTGCTGTTTTGACAGCCTGCAGCCTCGAGGGTGTGGACAACTACAGCAGCTGGAGGGAGAAGATGTTCAGAGAATGTGGGGAATTTACCTTCATTAGGACAACAGAGACTAAAAGCTAAGTGGCGATTAGCCGAATTCAGAAGCCGTGGTTGGACGGCCTCGGGTGGACACACGCTGTGTCCCCCTCCTTCATGCTGACCCCCCTCTTCTGTCCATCCCGATTTCTGCTTCACTCTCTTCTTTGGCCTGGCTTTCTCTTTTCTGGCTCTTTGGAGCAGAGAGTGAAAAAAAAGGCTGCTGGCAGCAGAAACACCCAGGAGAGACAACCTTAGCTAAAGAAATGCTAGAAGTAGTGAGAGGAATGTGTGTGTGTGTGTGTGTGTGTGTGTGAGAGTGTGTGAGAGTGATTGATGCTCTGAACAACACATAGATCCAACAATCTTCTCGCGAGGAGACGACATCGCTTACTTCCTTTGTTGCCGTCTGAGTTGGGGCTCTCTTTGTCTCTGCAGGCTTACAAAGTCACACAAACTAGCTGGATACCCCCACCCACACACACACACACATACTCAAAGTCAGTGTGAGTTTGGGAAACATGGCCCAGCCTATATGGATGATGTTATCAGGAAGTGTTTGGAGGATGATTGTTTCCACATGCGGCCCCTGCTCTGCCTGCCAGCGGCAACGAAAACAACCTCCGAGTGCGTCGCCTCCACCTACGATCCGTCATCTCCCTCTCTCTCTGCCTCCTTCTCCACCCCTTTGTTCCCGTTCCCCCTTTCTCCTTCCCTCTTCATCTCTCTCTCTCTCTCTCTCCCTCCCTCCCTGTCTCCCATCCAACATGATTCCATCTCCTCCTTTCCAAGTCCTTTCTTCTCCCTCGCTGCCCTCTCTGTGGTAATGCCTCTCTCTCTTTTTTTTGTCATGGAGCTATGAGAGATGTTAACTGTTGACGTAAAACTTTGTGTAATAAAGGGGGACAAACAGTTGAAAAAGCTCCAGTTGAGAGATTTGGGGAGTTTGAAAAGGAAAACCCCAAAACTACACGTGTGCCGCTGGTTCTGAAATGCAGAAACTACAGAGAACAAACCTGTTGTTCCTTTCTCTTCCACATGAAAGCAGCCCAGGGCTTGGCCAGAGGCTGAGAAACAAACACTTTTGAGCCACAATTAGTTCACAGCAGACGTGGTTAACATCTGCACGGCTGCATGGCTTCACGACTACCGTTTCAAGCTATCGGAGAAGCAGTGCCGGATAACCATTTGAACATCACTTCTCTTTCTGTGCGCTTCATCTCGTCCTCCACGTGGGTCAACACGCGGATGGAAAAGGGTCACCCCTCAGCCAAAAGCATTGACTCATAACCCTGGGATCTGTTCTCCATTAATGAAAACAAACTCAGGCAGAACATGTTTTGGAGATCAGTCAAAGCACGAATGTTAGTGTCATCAAAAATGTCTCGTTTAAACTTTTATGGCAGACTGTCTTTGGTCCTTTGTATTTTGTTAGCTGGCAGTATTATTAAACAAGATTAAATGTGACACATGTGAATGTTTTGTCCCTCGTCATTGCCGTGACTCACTTCCATCGGGGCGGTGAGTTCGGGTGTCCAGTAACTCTGGACTAATTCTGGCGTCACTTTAGGGGTGCAGACAGATGTGTAGAGGGAATCTGCCTCAACAAACTACTTAAAAAGTACACAATAACTCTTGTTGATTGTTGCCACGCCCGACCTTTGTCCATTCATTGTCTTTGTTTCTTGGGAAGAGGCATTTCTGGATGCGTTTACGGAATAAATATGTCAACCCCCCCCTCTTCTCTTTATGTTCTGTCATCCTCTGGGGAAAATAGTGAGCTTTGGGAAAATAGCTAAATGAGTGTTTTCTCAAAGCGCCCCCTTCCCTCGTTTCCTTGCTCTTCTATCCATTCCTTGCCTTCTCCCACCATCAACCCGCTTTTCTTTTCTTTTTTCCCACAGTGCCTATAGCTGTGTGCTCTGGAAAGGGAAATCAGAGGTCATCTGAGGTCAAAAAAAGGGGGGGAAATGAAAGATGAAGGAGTGAAGAAGCTTGTTGTTTGCTTGTTTGATGCAGGAAAATAAGTTCCACAGAGCCGTGTGTAGGATTTGAGGTTGGAAAAGACTACTGCAACAAAATGAGAGCATGCTAGCGCCGTCTACTTGAGGGAAATGGGGGTTGGGTATGAGAACCAAAAAAAAAGAGCTGGCAGGAGAAGAGTGTAATGAAGTGAAAAACTTGAGAATTTAAGGGAGGAACAGCAAATGGGGACAGCCTGTGCCAGATTGAGACACGTAAAGAGATAGTGAAGCACATATCTGCACAATTTCTTCATGAGAGACGAAGACAGAAAGACAGTAGAGCCTTATGGGAGTTCAAACACAGTCTGCAGCCTTGACACTAAAGAGAGAGATGTGGAATATAGTCTGAGCGGTCTACCTCTCCCCTTCATTCTCTCACTCCCTCTGACCTTCAACACCTCCTGAACCATCTTTGACCACCAGCTGAATCTTATCTTCTGCTTTTTTATTTTTCATCTTCTGACTCATCAGAGCAAGTGCAGAGACAGCTGCCGGAGATGAAACATAAATGGTCGAAAAGGATGTTACATAAATTGGCAAAACAGAGGATTTTATTTTCCACTGAAACAAAACTTTCAACTTTGGTGAATAGAGAACTGAAACTTGAACATTCCGACTGCAACCAGGGTATCTCAAAACCACTTTTTGTCCTTCTCCTTTACAGTAGGAGTTGCTACTTCTCCATTTTCCTATTTATGTCAAACACTATGTGCTTAGTGTTTTCGGATTGTGAGCGGCTTCCATGATGGAAAGCCCCCATCATCCCTCCTGTGGCACATCTCTCCTCTTAGCGGTTTCCATTCCTATTCATCCAGGGATAGAGACGGTGTGAGCTGGCATGGAAAATCCCACCTCAGTTTAAACTCCCAACACACGGCAGCCTAGCGCTCCAGTTTGGACGGAGTGTTGCGATCCTAACTGAGTTCTTTCAGGATTATTTTAACGTCCACCCTCTCCCTCTTCCCGTCTCCGCCTAATCTGTCCCCGCAGTCCCAGTCAGCCTTCCACCTCAAGAGTTTACATGTGAAAGCTCGTGGAGGTACAGTGACTGGTGTCTGGTATTCTTCATAAACACAGACTTAAGTTGAAGGGGCACAGGAAGGAACGTAATGACTAACAGTGCACTGTAACTTGACTCTCTGACTCCTTTCTTATCCTGCTGAATCAAGCTGAAAAACAGTCGACAGAATTAAAGCTGCAGTGAAGTCGATTCACCTCAAAACAAGCTCAGAAAATATGTGCCTTTAGGCAAAAAAGAAACACAACAAACGCTGCTGAAGAAAAGACTATTGCATCCCAGGCAGGGGCCACTGTCGCTGACATTTTGGAACCAATGGAAGCTTGAATTAGAGTAATGGGGACAACATTTTTTTAAATTGGTCCAGTATTGAACGCTGTGGTCGACAACTGCTAAACATTGTTGTCTCCATTAGTCACTTAGACAAAAGAAACATGGAAAAACAAGGTCCAGGCTGAAAAACACAGAAGTTACCCTTTAATTTAGACTTTCACAATTTTGATCTGGTAAAATCGAAAAGCAATAAGAAAGCAACACGCATCTTTAATATTTAATCATTAGGCCTGCACATTGAAGGTACTTCAATGTTATATGTAAAATACACTAACTCAGCTTTGAAATGTTCAAATGCTGCATCAGTTGCAATTTGCCGATGAACACTAGAGAAAAAAAGCAGGCTCTGTAAGGCCTGGTATTTTTTCAGATGGTACATCCATTTTATATAGGATACACATAGGACTGCGTACGTAATACTTAGTTCAATAAAATGATCTTTGGCACAGGCCAAAAAGGCGGATCAATGGTGCCTGCTAGCTGCAGCGTAGCATGTGTCTTGCACTGGTTACAGTACACAGCAGGAGTGGGAGGAGACGACTCAATCAGAAGCCAGATAGCACAGCCTTGACCTGGACTCACTTCAGAGGCAGTGACCCGACACACACACACACACACTTCCAGGGTGAAAACAAACATCTCCTCAGTCAGCCGGAGGACTCACCTCCTTCTTTGGTGCGCAGCTCCACCCAGGGCGACCAGTCAGATGGGCCCTGGCTGCTGTGGCAGGCCACCCTGACTGCGTAGAGGCGGTGGGGCTCCAGCTCCCCGATGAAGTGCGTGGCTGGTGGGACGTTCACATTCTGGTTGTGGATCATTTTATCCGGGCCTGCTGCTGCGGACTCTCCTGAATGTTTGGCCTGGAACATTTAGATAATAAACTTAAATTTGTTACATTGTTTAATAATCTTTATTTCCCACTTTTATCCCCTAATATAAAATGTGCTGCTACATATTATGTACTGCGAGTTGGGCAACCTTTACACTGGATTTCAGATTGAGTGACCAGATTCTGATTGTGATCTGTTTCATTGCTTTTTGGCACAAACAGGAAGAGGACGCTGTTTTTTAAGTGCCAACACACATAAAGCCAATAGGTAGAGGCGAATACAGTAGAAGAAGAACTGGTGGGTAAATTTCTTCCAACACGTTCATCATTTTGAGCAGAGCAACAACATGTAGAAATATAATTTTTGTAATGGATTCAAATGGAAAGTGTGTCCTTAATCAATACCATCAATTATGCTCTTCTTAATTATCACTATTTTTATTAGCAATAAAACAATTGCATGGAAAGATGGTTACAGTAGTGCTGAGTATATATAATTCAAATTACTTGCGCATGTTAGAAATCAACATTTGATAATATTTAACTAAATGTGTAGATTGGAGTTGGTCTGCAGGAGATACGTTTTTTGTTAAGAATAATATGTCACAGCTTTTAAAGGAGACATATCATGCTAATTTTCAGGTTCACACTTGTATTTGGGGTTTCTACTAGAACAGGCTTTAATGTTCAAAGAAAATGATATAAGTTTATAGTATAGAGAAACTTTGAATTCCTGTTTCTGTAGGCTAAATAAGTTTTGGAGGTACTGTGGAAGAAATCTGGGAGGTTGGAGTCCCTGTGCTTAATGGTGGTGGAGGATGGTCATTAAGTGTTAATTGCCAGAGATAGTGAAAAATCTGCCCCATTGTTGTGTCGAACGTGAGCCAGGCTCAGTGAGGTGCACTGAAAGAAGAACCCATCGGCTAAAAATCAGAGTCACAAACCTGCTGTCTCTGCAAACTCACTATGGTAAACACGTTTAAAGAGGAACACAAAGGGAGAAGGGGGAAGAAAAACCCTGGATTGCAGCAATCTTAAAAACCACATTAAAGTTGCCGGTCTGGCGCATAATTGTGGCTCCTGCAGGCTGCTGGCTGCACTTCACAGGGTGGGCTTTACAGTAAGAGCTGGAAACAGGTCTATAATAGCCACACAAACAGATCAGGTGGGTGTGTGTTCAGCTGGTGCTGCTGTGCTCTGCTTTTGACAATGCCTTTTTGAAAACAACATGAGTATTCAGAGGGAGCTGGGTGGGAGAGTTCTTCCACATGGCGTGAGTTAGGTGGTGTGACGTCCCGAGGAATATTAAGTTGTGTGAATGAGGACTGTGAAAGAAGTGTGTGTACGAGAGAGCGAGTCATTCCCGACTCGGTGAATCACCGTCCCGCCTGCAAACAAGTGTGTTTAATCTAATTGTGCGGATCAGCTCTGAGTCACACTTGAGCCTGCATTCCCCTCGTATGGCTCAGACCCTCAATACCTGCTGTCACTGCACTTCCCCTGTTTCCTTCTTCCTTTCCTTCTTATTGTCTTTCTTTCTGTTTGTTATGCCTCATTTGTGCAGCTCAGTAACATCTCTCTGCTCAGAAGCTTTTTTCCCCCGTCTCTCTTCGGCCCCGCAATGAACTGTTAATTCTGATTTTTGCTCTGCCGAAGCCGGCCCCTCGCCTTGTTCCCCAGTGCGGGGAGGGGGGGGGCAAGAACAGACGAGAGGTATAAGGGGCAGCTTTATTAGAACCAGACATTTAGGGGTGTTGCTGCTGCACTGCTCCCTTCTCCAGGGGAAAATGCCTCCCCCCCCCTCTCAACTACGAGCTGCAGTGGCCGCAGAACAGAAGAATGGCAGAGAGACACTGACAGAGAGAGAGAGAGAGAGAGAGACAGAGAGAGGGAGTGGTCCTACACCAGATTAGTCCAGGAGGCCACTCTCCCAGAGCGAAACCTGATCCACTAGTACACGAATAAAGCAGGGAGGGGTAGAGGATGAGTTAAGAGAAGAAAAGGACAGCAAGCTCCTCTCTTCTTTGGGGTTAGTTTAACATGCAGGTCAGACTCAGCAGTGACTCGTTTTCTCAGCTAGTTGTTGTATTCGCCTCCTCTCACGTTCATCTCACCTGGACAGTGCAGCGGACTATCGGGTAGTCGCCTCCAAAAGCGGGCTGCCATGTTAAACGGAGACTGGTCGGTGTGATCTCCATGGCTTCCAGGTGTTGAGGCTTGGACGGGAGGACTAAAGAAAGACACGAAAAGACATTGTAAAAAATAAAAATAAAGATATAACCACAACAATGTTTAAACAGGAATGAAGGCTGACACGAGTGCTTGTGACACCTACCAGTGATGGTACCGGATCCAGAGGTGGCCACTCCTTTGCGGTTATGGGCCTCACAAGAAAAAGTGCTGGTTCGGTTCAAACCTGGACAGACAAAGAGACAACATGGGTGTGTGAATCGGGGGACATGGGGGGGGTTAAAACTAAGAGTCCTTGCTCAGCATGCTGAGTTGCACATTAAGTCAGCGTGAGAAGCGGTGTGAAAGTTCAGACTGGAGTGAGAATAATGCGAGGGTAATAGTTTCCATAAGGTCAGGTGAACTCTCTGTCAACAGTGTTGTGATTAGTTCCGGGCGTCAGCGTGCGTTTGTGGATGTGAAAGTGCATGTTTGAGAGATTGGCCTGCACAATAAACATCAAATCCGCCATTTCGTCAAAACCGGACCAGTCACAGCCATTTAAAGGAAGAGACTTGTCCTGAGAAGTTTCTGTAAAACATGTGAATCAACAACAACACCTTACCCACCCTATCGGTAATGCAAAGCCTTGATCCGTACACATTTTCACTGTTTTAAGACTTTCAAAAATCCCGCTACATTGTCTGAACACTGATGTAGAAGATAAACATAATTGAAAATAATCGATACAAGCGTGCACGGTGAGCACTGATTTGGTGATTTGCAGATCAAAAGATGTCTGGGTTGAAACTGTGCTACATCTGGTTGAAAAGGTTAAGTCTGGGTTACATTTGTTTCAACACAATTTCATTTATTTATTTCTGTTACATGCTGTCCAAACATTATTAACGTTATTTCTAATCTGACGTCTACAAATTCTTCAACCAAACTTGGGCGAAGTTGTCTTTTGACCTTCAAATCCCTGTCAGGGTGAAGACTGTCTTCTTAAACCAGCTTCGCACAAAGTCTAAGAATGTGGAACTTCACTTTGTATCAAAAGCCCGAAACTCTCTCTTAAACTAAAGAATCTCTTTTTCCTAAAAACACTGCATGATTGTGGTTCTTCGCTCTCGCATCGAATCTTTTCCCGCCGTGTGCTTTTGAGAACAAAGAGAGCGGTCGTGTTGAGGGTCCAGGTGTAAAAAGGGCTGAGCTGCTGCCTTCGTGAGGCTGGGGCTCCTCTGAAGGGGGCGAAACGCACTGTGACACACACACACACACACACACACACACACACACACACACACTCTGATATTCAACAGTGAATGAGTACTCTCACAAAGTGACTCACAGCGTGCTCACACACTCGAACCCTTCCACAGCACAACACAGGCTCACACACACACACACACACACACACACATACTGAAACATGTGACACTCAAGTTTTTAACCACTGGTTATCTAACATGCCGACATTGTCAATTAGCCAGACTCTCACAGAACCGCGCAGTGTGTGTCGCTCTGCGCTGACAGCACCATGCCTCCATTGTGCTGGGGCCGGAAAAAGAACAGGGGGTACGATCCTCGCTGGGTGAAGCAGGAGGATTGTGAGAGAGGGAAAGGAGGGAGGGGTGAGGGGTGAGGGGTGAGGGATGACCGCTGGCGGTGTGGGAGAATGAAGTGCTCATCGGGCCATCTCGAGATTGCGCCACTCGCCCTTCTGACTCTTTTCCTTCCCCATCAGAAAACCGCAACACAACATCCCCCCGACCAGCTGAACATGTCATAATCGGTCACTGGGAGGAACTCCTGAGCTCACGAGCATCACAGTGTTGACCAATGGTGTTAATGTCAGCTGGGGATGACAGAAGACAGGCCTGGTGCTTCCTTTATGGTGACTAAAGTATTGGGACCGTGACTCACTGAGCTCATCATTGTTTTGTTTATGTACTCCAGCATATTGGATTCACAGCTGCAACTAATTTTGTTTTCATTGTTAAAGCTAGCGTGAGCAATGTTGTTTACAAACTATTTTTTGTTCGATTTGTTGAAATCCATCATTCTCATTCTCATTATGATGATTTCGGCGGAGAGTGGCTTTGGAGGGAGGCCTGAAGAGACGGGCTGGCAGTGTTGCCGACTTGGCGACTTTCTCGTTAGATTCAGCAACTTTTGGAGCGAGTGCTGCTGTAGCTACCGTCATTGGAAAACAGTTGGCAACACTGGGCTGGGTGTTTTTTAGGATGGATGATTTTGAAAATCGAGCTCACTCTTGCTGGTTGCTCCAATGTGACGACCCAAGCTTTAGTTGAACCATTTTTTAGGTGAGTTTAACAAAGTTATTTCACAAAATGTTCCACATCAGTGAAAAACACCCATCACAATTTCCAACAGCCGATGTCTTCAAATTGTTGGTTTTGTCGGATCAACAGCGACACAAAAATATTTTTTTGGCCCAAACCATTGTATGTTCTTGATTGTTGTCACTCTGACCAAAAAGCAAATTAATTTCTGCTTCTCTGGGATTTTAAACCCTCTATTATTGTGCAATTCAAGTTGTTTAAGTGCTCTCCGTCCTACAGCTTTTGGACAAGGCACATAAAGAGCTGTGGTTGCTTCACTGTCCATCAGATGTGGTTGGAAACCACCTTAAGACTTGAAGCTACAGGGAGACGTGTTGCCCTGGACTTCTTAATGTTTGAAATACGTTGAGCCGTTTCTTTTTACGGTTTACAGCATAACAAGATTATTTGTCTTTGGACCTGTGGTCAGCCAGAGCAGCTGTCCATTCCAGAGACGTGAGTGTAGGTTACCGTCAAGCGGGACCTGGTCATCACTCCGATGCTCCGATGAGTCAAACCAGATCCTGCAACCGACCGCTGCCTCCTGCTCCTCCCTCCCTCTGGCTCAGCCCGCTCTTCCTGTCCAATGGACTCAACACAGGCCAGCTATCTGGCAGGCAGCTGTTTGCATTCAAGCCTCTGTCTTTTATCTCCTTCTGCCCATCTATTTATCTCCCTCCAGTAGGCCCTCTTGCGCCCGCTGCTCTGCCTTAACCCATCAACCACACGACCACAAGGCCCATCCCCCAAATGGATCCGATGGCACCGTGTCAGCCAACCGGCTCTCTCTGTGAGAGAGTGGTTATTTTGATGGTTTTGTTTATACCAGCGAGGGGGCATTTGAACCTATAGAGGATAGTTGCTGTGTAGCTGTTGAGGCAGAACATTGTAATCTATGATATAGTCTAAAATACATTCAATTAAAAACCGATCATTTTGAAATTGTCTTGTTTCTAGTCATTTTAAAACTCTGCTACTTGGGGCCACAAGCTGCTGACAGCGACGTCTTACTTGACTAATGTAGTACTGAAATGAGTCGATTAATTAAGTGACCGTCAATAGTTTTGATTATCAATTCATTGTTTAACTCTTTTATTGAGCAAAAATGCCAAAAAACGTTCTGATTCCAACTTTTCAAATGTTTTTGTTTTGTATCCAATTGTAAACTGAACATCTTTGTGTTTTGGATCCTCCGGGTCCCACTGGCGAGCCTCCGGCGACGGTTACCGCTGATAACGGTGTCGCGACCAACGGTGCCATCACGGAAAGGTGGAGCCCGCCCTCTGGTTCCCCCTCAGGTAAACAATGTTTTGTCGTAATTAGCACATTGAGAGCCGCGTGGAGGCAATAGAAATGCTCCCGATCTCGTATAAAGCACCTTCCAACAAATGCAGTCCCGGACTGTGTTACTGTTGGCTGATCATTTAGCCCTCGAGGAGTTGATTGAGGCTGCATGTTTTAATGGGTGTGACTATAAGCTGTGTGCACACGGCCTCGACCGCTCAGCTAACAGAGGGCGACAGACGTTACCTGTGAGGTTGAGCGTGGAGGGTGACAGAGCCACCGGGTCATCCAGGGAGTTGAGAGGAGCGCCGTCCTGCAGCCAGATGACTCTGACCGGCTCTGGAGGACCGTGGGCCACACAGCTCAGGCTCAGGGATACGTTGGCCACTATAGACATGTGCTGGGGCTCCACGGAGAAATGAGGAAGGCCTGAGAAAGAATAAATTCGCTGAATCAGGGTCTCGACTCAACTTCCAAATACAGCCGTGGTGCTTATTTTTGTAGCTGCCTCTGTGTACACCAGAGAGCCCCAGATGAACTCACCCTCCAGCTGAACGCTCCCCTCCTCAGACATGGTCTGGTGGCTTTCGGATAGAACAGCACATCGATAGGCGCCCATGTCGGGAAGCTGGACCTTGTCAATACTGTTGTGTGCATGAAAAGGAATGATTTAATAGGCGATATAAAGATAAAGCAATGACAAACCAAACTGATGAAAACTGGATGATAGAGGCAGAAACACGGTCAGACCCTGATTACTTTCTTTGCACATTTTGCAGTGCAATCATACCAGGATTAAATATGTTTTTGTTTTGCTCGGGTTATGTCATTTCTTTCAGACTTCATTTCAAACTGCTCCACAGCAGCTGGAAGTCAACGTGGTGATGTAATCCAGCAACAGTACTCGTTAAGCTAGGTGAAAGGATAAGGTGGAGGAACAGGAAATAAATCCAATCACAGCAGAGGCATGAGGAACATTTTTAGGCCAGGTGTGGCTGCCGTTACAGACGGATGAACCTTTATCTTTTGAATCTCACGACAAAAGCAGCTCGCCTGTTCACAGTAGAGTGAAAACCCGCCGCCTACCTGAGCGTGCTCATGATCGTCCAGCTGTCGCTGCCGGTGTGGACTTGGAACTGGTTGGTGTCGGCGTACAGCAGCGGCACGCTGTCTCTCAGCCAGAGCACATCAGGGGGGTCCTCCTCCTCGCCCCCCGTGCCCTTCAGGGTGCAGTGCATTGTGATGGGTTTGCCCAGCGAGGAGATGACGGTTTTGGGGCTCCGCTCGAACTCCAGATCTTTGATTAAGAGAAAGAGAGAGAGAGAGAGAGGAATCAGGATTAGAGGTTAACTAGAAGGATAAATAAAGACTTGTTTTTGTCAGTGGTTGCGTTAAACTTTACACAGAGAGTACACATTTATAACATGGTAGCATTTTTTACTGCCATATTTTAAAACAACAGCCAGCTTTCCTCCTGTTATCCTACTGTAAAAAGGCGACCTCAAAGTTACACCAACATTGGCTTATTCATAAGGACTCTTGTGGACACAGTCAAATCAAATCGTCTGTTTTGTTCGATTTATAGTGACACAAAAACACAGAGAAGAAGCCAATCTTGACATTTGAGAAGCTGTAACCCTCCCACTTTTGGTTTAATGAACGGCTTAAAGGCTGAATCGATTACCAAAGTTGTTGTTGACTCATCAATCAACCAGCTGATCTCCTCGCCACCAAAAACTTCAACGTTTATTTGTGGTGGACAGGTTTGACTTGATAACATGTGATAACAGACAGGTGTGTTTATCCCCCCCGCCACACTGAGCCCCGTCCTCTTGTGCCCGCTAACAGGGGGGCTGACCTGAAGGGGACCGAGCTGATACTGGGACAAAGGCTCCTTGTTGGAGGACGACCGCTCGCTCAGTGTCGGAGCACGGAGAGCTCAACACAAACACTGAACGTATTCAGGGTTTCTCTCGAACCGCAAAGATGGGCCTGTGAATCTGTTCAACATCCTTAAAAAAGGGTTGTGCTTTTTCTTAACTTTGAGACATTCACCAGAAACGAGAGGCATTCCTGATGATGCTGAGGAGTGCGCGCTTTGTCAAAGGCCGTCACGGCCTCGATCTTAAACACAAAGTTGGCAAGGATGCATGGGCCTGGATCTCTCCTGCAGGAATCTTTCCTCTACAGCATCAAATAAAAATGCCAATGACAGAGCATGCCAAGGCTCTCCTTAACTCCTCGATAAAATATTAGGAGAATGTGCAAACTTGACCTTTGCATCAAGTTCAGGACGACAATAAATCACCCCTTGTTTCACCGAGCGACGCCCATGAAGATTTTCTCAAGCTTGTCAACCCGCCCTCCTAGTCTGTTTCATGGCCGACCTTCGACCTCTGACCCCCCCCCCCCAGAGGACTCCGCTGCAGCCCATCTCACGCAGACACGCACATAATTCAACCGCTGACAACAGACATGTAGCGTAAACAGCACACTTTAACAGCACTCGTTTTACCCGTGAGCAGAACGCGCCCTCGGTTCTGTAAATGTGCGTTCAAAGAAGCTCCTTCTTGGCGATGGATGAAGGGGCCCCGCTGGGTCGCTGCCCCACCGCCTCTCCTCCTCTGTGTGATTTTCTTTGCCGTTAAAAGTCATTCCTCCCTTTTATTTTTAAGCTTGACCGAGCCCTTTCATGAATCAGCGTGGCCCTGACTTTGTTTGCCTTTTTTTGTCTCAGTGCCATGTTGAACAAAAGCAGCCCTACTTTCTTTCTCTGTCTCTGAGAGCTGCATTCATATCATAATAAGCTCCTAAAACCTTTTTATGAGAACGAGAGGTAGACGGTAGAGAGAGAGAGCAGGCCCTGGTTAACCTCTGTGTGTGTGTGTGTGTGTGTGGCCCGTCTCTAGTGATTCATTTGTGCTTCACTACTCCATCTCCTCCCTTTTGTCCCCCGAATTCCCTCGAGGTCCCACACTATTTTCCACCCCGCCTCTACTCCTACTGTCTCTCTCTCTCTCTCCCTCTCTCTCTCTCTCTTGTAGAAAAAGTTAAATGTCAGTGGACATAAACATACCAAAAATACCCGACACAGTCCGAGCATTTATCCTCCCCTCTCTCCCTCCTTTTATCTTTCTGGCTTTTTAACGCTATACGTAACTCAGGCCCCTCCATTCACTGCCGGGCCTCTGCCCTTTTCTCATTTGGCCTCCCTTTTCATGCCATTCTTCGGATTCATCGCTCTTGCCCCCTTTTTACCCCATCCATCATTCCGATGCTTGGGTCTGAGTCAGACCGGCTCTGACTCACAAACCAAAGCATCCCCCCCCCCACCCACCCACACACACACACACACACACACACACACCCTCTTCATCCCTTACATCCCCTCTCACTCCTGGGCCACAGCTATCCCTGCATCCAAATAGGAACTGAGACGTCGGTAAAAAAAAATCTGTTTGAGAGCATCGGCCATGAGCTTATAAATCTCTGCGGTGTCTCGTAATGTCTGTCCCTCTTGGTCGCACATCTGCTGAGGGCAGAGGCGTAGCTCCCGCGGAGACAGCGTGACTGTAATGGTCAAAACACATGAGCCGACAGGTGGAGGCCCCTGTGGGGACCCCGTGTTTTCGACCCACTGCGGTTGTAGCCGTCTGACTTGATTGTAAGAACAGATCAGGACTTCTGAGTGATGGTTGGTTAGACCACTGGGGCTGCTACTGACCATTATTTTCTCGATTAATAGTTTGCTCTATAAAATGTCAGACAATAGGGAAAAATGTCCATCCCAATTTCTCAAAGTACAAAGTGATGTCTTTAAATGTCTGGTCAGTCCAAAACCCAAATATATTCTGTTTAATATAAAACAGAAAACTAGGAGATCTCCATGTTTCAGATGCTGAAAACAGCCTTTTCTGCCATTTCTGCATTAAAAATGACTCATTATTTATATATTATGAAGATTATTTGACACACAACAAACTGATTGGTCGACTATTTGTTGCAGGCATGTAGACCAGCAGGATTCCACAGTCTGGTTTTCTGTAGAACAAAACCTCTCTCCTTGTTGCTCTGCTACATGCCTGTGAACTGCAGTTCCCAGTGTTGTGATTCTCTCACTTCCCAGCAGGATTTATTTTAAGCTCTTTCCCTGCCTGGAATGCATCTCTCGAAATTCCACAGTATTCTGGAAAACAAAACCACCACTGGAATCCTGTTGTAGATACTGGTTTGTTCCCAGTAAGTACAACAAAAAGTATGCAGAGGTGTTCATGCTGCACCTGATCTAGAAAAAAACAAACACCAATGAAGGAACTCTCCTGCCCCCCCTCTTACGTGCTGTCACTGAACCATCACGAGGAGCTCGAGCCTGATCGAGCCAATGAAACTAATCGTTCACTTGTCTCAAAGGGCTTTATGGGCGTAATGAATTCCTTCATGTCGGCCAGATGTTGGGCTCCCGCTGCAGCCACCCCAAAGCAAATGTGTTTAACAAGTTAGGAGCAGAATGCTGACTGGGCTAATTGCTCGTTAGTTTGTTTTTCCTGTGAAGCTGACTAATCACAGATGGTTAATTGTGAGAAAGACCGCTGCGGCTGCTCGGTGCCAAATGAAAACCTTTACCTGTCAGTGTGCCGCCGGCTACTGGCCTCCAAGCGGAGAATATGACGGCGAGGAGCAGAAAGGACCACTTAGACCCGCTCATGGTGTCTCCTCCTCTGAGAATGTGCTTCATGAGAAGAGCAGTCATCTTGGAAACGTCCCCGGACTCCATCACCTCATCTCAGCAGCTCCGAGAACACCAAAGTTCTGCGGTGGGAAAAAAAAGTTTGTCTGTGACTCCGGCCGATGCTGGAAGTGTGTGACGATTATACACCGATCAGCCCAAAGAGTAAACCGGATCCCGTCGTTTCGGTTCCCCCTTTTTTTTAAAGGAGACAGAATGTAAAAACTGCTCAAAAGTCTTGTCTCTTCACTTCTTCCGCTGTTGTTTTGGTTGATCCCGAAACTGTCCACTAAACGTCCCCCAGAAAGAAAACGCGCACAATAAAAAAAAAAAAAGCGCTCCGTACTTTTCGGCGGCTGATAAACTTCACCAAATCTATTTCTAGCAAACCGAGGGAGTATTTCTTTAAACAGTGTTTCCCGCAGTCTGTCGTCCTCTCGTCTCTCCTGCCCCACCGACTCCCTCAGACATTCCCTCTCTCCCTTCTTCAAACAGGATTCAAATTCCTCAGCTCAAAGTTCTTTCCACCCTCCTCCTCCTCCTCCTCCTCCTCCTCCTCCTGAGTCTCCCTCCTTTTTCTCAGGGGGTGTGAGAAACCCTGCGGCATGCTGATTGTCTCAGCACAATCCCCCCCATTCGCTTTTTTAATTACACACTGGATCTCCTGAAGTTGTAAAATAGCGCAGTTTATCACCCCGTTTTCCGCTGGAAAACAAAGTCCGTGTGTCAGTCTGCGGCAAAGACGGACCTGCGCACTGTCCGTGTGTGGATCAACAAAATAATAGGTACCATTAAGTCATGGCAGAGGAGCCATTATTCTTGAAAATAAATGAGACAAACTGAGTTAAAACCTGTCATCATATTCTTTTAAAGTAACTTTAGTAACTTCATTTGTTGTCAGCCATGTTTAATTCATTCATTCTCACATTACACAGGTTTATTTCTGGGTCATTTGGTTTCAATACCTGTATGTTGTTAACTCTGTTTGTATTTGTGTCTTGACACTGAATTCATATTTGTGCATGATTTCCTCTGCTTTTGTCATTATTCTACATATTTGACATCCTGTTTATGCTCAAAACGGTTTGATTGATTAAAATTTTTCATGTATAAAACAAAAGATTAAATGAGTGAAATCAAATGGCTCCTCAAGTCCTTGAAAGATACTGGCTTAATACACTGGCTAATAAGAACCTCTGCCTTCCAATGAGTTTCACCCATTGGCCTAGAAACTGTCAGGTCACTTTGTTTAAAATGGTCCAACCTTTATTACAGTCTTATTTACAGTGATGGAGGCTGGGGGAAATGTATAACAGTAAAGTAATAGGAATGATAATCAAACTATTCTGTTTGCATTTGCAACCCCACATAACCAGCATCCTGTCATCAGAATGAGTTTGAGTTAGATCTACAGTTTCAGCCATAACAGACGGAAGCATCGTCAGCTGTAGTCTAAATAAAAGCAGGCTGTCCCCAATGATTCACATCAGCAGAGGTTAGCTCGCTGTGTTGTTGTAGACTGTGATGTCTGAGGTGATTGTGTGAGTTTGGATGGAGGTGGCGCAGCGAGAGTTCACATACCATTCATGAATAATTGATTTGCTGCGTAGATTCCTGTTTTTTCCCATGAAAACGATGGGAGGTTCCGGGACTCAGGTTGCGAAGACCTGGGTCCCACTGTCCCTTTAAGAGTGGCTCTGTGGACAGTGTTGTGTTCCCAGGGTCTTTAATGGAGACAAGAGAGGGAGACTGAGAAAGACCCCATTGTATATGCTCTCTTTTCAATGGGAGCTTGAGCAATGGTGCTCTCACTGCTCCCAGATAGAAGCAGGCAGAGAGAGAGAGAGAGAGAGAGAGAGAGAGAGAGAGAGAGAGAGAGAGGGGAGGGAGGAGGGTCACCGAGGGGGTCCTGTACAAGAAAGAGGGGTGTTCTACTCTGAAACACAATGTTTTTGGGCTGGATGGGCCTGGAAGGAGTGAGTGTTTGGGTTTTGAGGGGGATGGGCATCGGCTCTGCAGCACCGCAGTGTTTAGGTTTTTAGGCCACACCGAAATCCAGCAAACCTGTTTTCACCGAACAGACGGACTTAAAGACTTAGGGACTTTTGGGTGAAGTGGATTAACAGAGTTTATTGCTTTCAGTCTTAAAACCAACAAGTCATATGGACACCAGTTATTATGTTCTCTCACAAGGGCAGACTCTCATCATTAGTCTCCACTGCCTGCTGAACAAAACAACCTGTTGGTGTAGAAGACTCCCTATTGGCTGGCAGACATGGGAAACACCTTCCTCCTGCTCTCCCAGCTACACATGCTAACAATGAGCTAAGACCTTCCTCTTCTTCATCGTCTTCATGCCGCAGCCAGACAAACTGCTTCCATTCTATGGACTACAATGACACGTGACCGGCTAAAGTTTGTAGGGGCTCTTCTGCCCCCTGCTGGTGACACATGCAAAGCCTTCATGCTACAAATTAGACCAAACTCTCCCTGGCAGAAATGACAATAACTCAATAAACAGTAGTTTATTGGTGTGAGGTCACAGTGACCTTTGACCGCCAAATTCGAATGAGCTCAACATTCAGTGGAAGTGGATGTGTGTGCCAACTTTGAGGGAATTCCCTCAGGGTGTTCCTGTGATATTGCCAACATGAGGTCAGAGTGACCTCGACCTTCTATTTTGGACCAATAAAAATCTGACCACTTCCTCTTTGAGTCCAGGTGGACGTTTGTACTAAATTTGAAGAAAGTCCGTCCAGGGCGTTCCTAAAATAACTCGTTCTCAAGAATGAAGTGGGTGGACTGACGGACAACCCAAGAACATAATGCAGGCAAAAAATAAATACATTTTAGATCATTTCTGTCCGATTTTGGACATTAGGTGTGTTTGTGAAAAAAAGGGTTTTACAGACTTTTGTGTACATTTTTTGTTGTTTTTCAAACCCTGCTCTCACCAGACATTATGTCTGGCGTGTGTGTGTACGTGTGACATGTTGATAGATATTGGGCAGCATGATGTGCCCCGTCTCCTATTGCAGCATTTCTCTTTTCAGAATCGGAATCAGAATCAGCTTTATTGGCCATGTATGCGTGCGCATACATGGAATTTGACTCCGGTTACACATTACTCTCATCGTACATACGCACATAAAATATATACAATAAACAAGAGAAATATAAAAAAACAAGGACATTAAAGACAACAAAGTAGAACAGAGAAACTAAGCAGAAACATTTAACATTTAAGATGTACAATATAAATATATATGAGCATAAAGAACATAAAGAACAACAACAATGCCAATGGACAATGGATTCGGGATATTAGTGCAGAAGGTGGTAATAGTGCAAATGAAGATGCAACATGTCTGATTAATTGTTCATCAGAGTGACGGCCAGTGGAAAGAAGCTGTTCCTGCGTCTGGTGGTTTTGGCGTACAGAGCTCTGTAGCACCTACCAGAGGGGAGGAGTTGGAACAGCTTGTGTCCAGGGTGTGAGGGGTCTGCAGTGATCTTTCCAGCCCGTTTCCTGACTCTGGAGGTGTACAAGTCCACGATGGAGGGCAGGCTGGAACCAATGATCCTCTCTGCAGACCTGACAATCTGTTGTAGTCTGTTTCTGTCCTGTTTGGTGGCCGATCCAAACCACACAGTGATAGAGGAACAGAGAACAGACTGGATGATGCTGGAGTAGAAAATAATCAGCATCTCCTGAGACAAGTTGTACTTCCTGTGCTGGCGCAGGAAGTACAACCTCTGCTGGGCCCTTTTCCTGATGGTGTCGATTTTGGGAGCCCACTTCAGGTCCTGGGAGATTGTGGATCCCAGAAACTTGAAGGTCTCCACAGCAGACACAGTGTTGTTGAGTATGGCAAGGGGGGGCAGTGTTGGGGGGCTCCTCCTGAAGTCCACTGTCATCTCGACAGTTTTGAGCCTGTTCAGCTCCAGGTTGTTCAGACCACACCAGAGGTGTAGTTCGTGAGTACTTGCAGGCCTCTCCACATTGACGAGGGGTCGTTGACTGAAAACTTGTTTCCAGCTTTTCAGTGTAGCTTCTCTTTGCTACCTTGATCTCCCTCATCAGTGTGTTTCTGGCCTGGTTGTACAGGATCCTGTCCCCACTTCTGTAGGCCTCCTCCTTAGCCCGACGAAGTTGCCTGAGTCTTGCAGTGAACCAGGGTTTATTGTTGTTGAATGTGCAGAAAGTTTTAGTCGGCACACACATGTCCTCACAAAAAGTGATGTATGATGTCACAGTGTCAGTGAGCTCATCCAGGTCTGTAGCAGCAGCCTCAAAAACACTCCAATCAGTGCAGGCAAAGCAGGACTGTAGCTCCAGCTTTGCCTCGTTGGTCCATCTCCTCACAGTCTTTACCACAGGCTTTGCAGATTTTAATTTCTGCCTGTAGGTCGGGAGAAGATGGACCAGACAATGATCAGAGAGTCCCAGAGCTGCACGGGGAACTGAGCGATATGCATCCTTTATTACAGTGTACCAGTGGTCCAGTGTGTTTTTGTCCCTGGTGCTACACTTAATATGTTGTCTGTATTTTGGCAGTTCTTTGCTGAGGTTCGCTCTGTTGAAGTCCCCAAGAACAATGGGCAGGGAGTCCGGATGTTTGTGCTCCATGTTGGTGATCTGATCAGCCAGGTGTTGGAGCGCCTCACTCACAGGCCTGAGGTGGGATGTAAACACCGACCAGAATGAATGAGGAAAACTCCCGCGGTGAATAAAATGGTTTGCAGTCTATGAAAAGTGTTTCCAAGTGAGGGCTGCATGATTCCTTTAACACTGTGACATCTGTACACCAACCTTCTTTAATATAAAAGCAGATTTTTAAATTAGAGTTGAACAATGTACCTTATTTCATTGGATGTTTTACATCATCGGGAGGAAGTGCATTTCTGTCTCAACCAGCTGACATTTTTTCTTTTGTTTCATTCATATTATTATTTTGCTACTCACCTCTCCTCTCGCTTCAGATCACTTCACTTCCCGCCTTTGTGTGTGTGTGTGTGTGTGTGTTTTCCCGCCGGTTTTGATTGGCTGCCTCGCCCTGACTAGTTTCACCTGTCCCTCGTTAGCACTGCACTGTCTGGACCTCCTGTGCACCTGTTCCCACTTCCCCAGTCAGTCATTCACTACATATACCGGCGCATTTTCCTTTGTTCTTTGGCCTCTGTGTTCTCCCACAGAAATTATTTTCTGCAATAAGCCAAAATCCAAAAGAAAAAGTCCATTTGCTTTCTGTCGAAGACACTTCCAGGGGGTGGCCTAGGGAAATATGTTATAATAGGCAGCACTTTTATGTCCCAAACCCTGAAGAAAATAAACTGGGTTAAAGTAAACAGGCGGGACGTGTGTGCTTCCATGAAATCAAGCTCCAAAGTAAACGATCTTGAGGTATGTTGCTTCTGTATCAATCCCATTCAGCGACCTCAGTGAGGATTTCCTTCTGGTGTGTTGGTGTTTCTCCTAGATCCCTCGTGTTACATAATGTTATCCTCATTGTGATGAACAAGCGCATGCCAACACAATGAGTGGCGTTTAATCCCGCTTGGATCCATGATTTAAAAACTGTGTTAATATCTTGGCGGTTGCTGCTTGTGTGAGGGCATATGTATCCCAGGTCTGAGTAGATTACAAATCTTGGTTGGGCCTATCCAGCGCACTGCAACAACAGCCCTCCAGCTGTGCAGCAATAATAATCCCTCTGTTTTAATCTGCTTGAGCAGGGAGGTGACCCTTGCCCTGGTCTGGGGGCGGTCCAAGGTCCCGTAGATACACTGGGACAAAACGGTTTGATGGCAGTTTAATGATAAGTTATTACGAATCGCCCATATGTCACACGCAAGACCGCAAACAGAGGCTTAAAGATCTGTGCGTGCTTTTCCTAAGAGAGGAGCCGAATCGGGGGAAGAGTCTAGCGTGACATCTGGCGATGGCCGCCGTGAAAGTCATAGTGATCTCTGCGGTGGGATTTATCCATCGCTGTTATGATTAGTTTGGCTTTTACGCTCGTATGATGTTCATGTGTGCATAAGCGGGGACGGTTCCAATTCCAGTCACAACAGCATGGGTTTAAGGAAGGAAGGCCTGAATAGTGGGGATTATTATCCCTCTCTCTCTCTCTCTCTCTCTCTCTCTCTCTCTCTCCCCCTCCCCCCCCTACCCCTCTTTCTTTCTCACCCTATTTTCAGCATCAAATGCTCTGCCTGTCATTTACTTCCTGTTGCTGCGATGAACACAAGCATGAGCGCGGCAGGCATCCATCGGGGCTTCCTCAGGAAATACGGTAAGCCTGCTTTGACTCCCTCATCGGTGTGCAGTTCTCGGCCTTCAACAACAGGCCATTGTTGTTTGCTTCATGTTTGTGCTCATTCCATAACATTCATTTTGTTTTGTTGTACCATTAAATGTAGGTTACTGAAATGCACAGTGTTGTTGTTTTTTAATACTCTCCCTATCCGCCTATGTTTTGTTTCTATTAGACATCTGGTTCAGCTGTGTTTGCAGTGTACGCTTGTGTGTTTTTATACTGTGCAACACAAGCAGGCAGCTAAAGATCAGTTGCCGTTATTTGGTCGAGAATTTTGATCAGAAATGGACATAAAGAAAAAACAACAACTTCTCTTCCAACATCGACAGCCAAAATGAAAACAAATTATGACACTTTTTGAAGGACGTCATCTTCAGTTGACAAAATGACACTTTTAGACTTGTGCTTGTTATATTTCCCCCCCGTGGACTAATACATATTTGGTATTTATTCCTCGAAGAACAAACAATGAGTGAAGAGGAATACTGCCTCAGATCAACACTCCAACTGGAAGAGGAGTGATATCGATCTGAGAGTCACTTTGTGTGATATCATCGCTCCCAGATGTGTATTTTTCTTTTTAACAGAATGACAAGATGTTCGCTTACAAAGCCAAGTCAGACTGCAGGACTCAGCCAACGTCTCATGTTTCATATCTCCATCGGTTTCATTTGATAGTGGCGTCATGGGGGCTCAGGGGACAGAGGCAGAAGATACAGCTTTCTAGCAATGTCAGCAGTTCAGATTGAAAAAACAAAAATCGTTCTCTCTTAACTGTGGACTTCTAATAGTGAAATACTAAACTCACCTGTTCATCTCTAATCCTCTGTGTGGAGGAATAAAGCAGATCTCCCCCGATCATCAACGTGCGCTGCCCATCTATTACCGTTATCACACCATGGACGGCTGTCTGGGACACTTACAGTCTAACGGCAGTGTGTGTGTCCTGTCCTGAGAACTCTCAGTATGTTTTAAAAACAGAGGCTTTTCATTTTATTGCTACGAGTTAATGTTGCCCTAAATGGTCTGGAAACAAGGAGATTTACATTATGATTATTGACATAATGCTCTGTGCTCTATATGGTTTACATTTCTGCACTTATTTTGGATTTCAGGCTGTGTTGTTGCTTTTTCCTATTCCTATTTGTCATTTTCATATTCAAGTTTACGTTCAAGCAACACTATGTTTGCTACAGATTATTTCCTGCTAAAGAAGCACCTCTTGTCCAGTGTTAAACAACTGCTATTTTATAAATGCTAAGTTCAGTTGTTGACAGAGATGGGATCATTCAGTTCTGAGGTCATGTTTTTGAGGCTGTGGTTTGTGCTGTTGTGTTTTTGTATTAATTTGCACTGTATTGGACACAATGTGTATTCATAATGATGTTTTATCATTATAGAGTGCAGTCAAGCAGCTTCCAAACATGTTATCAACTCACAAAAAACTAAAGGAGGTCTTAGCATTAAGTGAACCTTTCAAAATTCCACGTGTTTTTGATGCCGAAAAAATACAAATGACAAAAAATGGTAAACAATCACAAAGTCTCCACTATGCTGACATAGGGCAGGCTTCTGTAAAATGGGCAGTCATTTCAAAGATGACTGATCATTTTCTTGGATGGAAATGTTGCTGTGTCACTCGGTGTCTCGGTGTAGTGAACATGGTCAAAATGATACCAAACACACTACATGCCAGCATTAGCATCTAGCTCAAAGCACAACTGTGGAAGCCTCTGTCAAAATGTTCACATCACCTTTCATCCACAGCTTATCTTCTGTCGCTCTTACCATAAATCACCCAAGACAACACAAGCAAAAAAACCGAACAATAAAACGGCCTCTGTTTCTCTTGTGTGTCCGCAGGGGGCTTCATGTTTAAGCAGTGGAAGGAGAAGTACCTCGTGCTGACCCTGGAGGGGAGCCTGCTGGTGTGCCGCGACGCAGAGTCCCCCCCGGACCAGGTGGTCGCACTGCAGACCAACTGCGAGTCCATCGCAGAGGGCCGGGAAATCCTCGACCTGCCCAGGTTGCCTCCAGGGGGCAGGAGGGACTGCTGCTTCGCCCTCATCCTGCCGCAGAACAAGTTCCTGCTGCTTCTCACTGAAAACCCAGAGGTCTGCAAGTGAGTCTCTCTCTCTGTCATACGAACACACACACACACACACACACACACACACAGGATTCATGTCCTTTGCCCCGTTCGTCATCAGACGTTAACAACACAGGGTGTCAAGCTGGAAGGTCTCCTTTGTCCCCCTCACTATCAGACATGTTTACTTCACAGGGCTATCAGATTGGGGACAATACTGCATCTTCTCTTGTGTCCCCATAAAGACTCTGCAGGTCTGGATCTGGTTCAAACATAATGACTCCCACTTTTTTTACCTTTCACAGTCTGTGGCTGAATTTGATCAGGAAAGTGAGAGAGGTGAGTCGGCAGTTTCGACTCGACTCTTGTCCTCCTGCGTGCTGTCGCCTCATTCAGCCTCGTCATTGTCCCAACACCTCACCTCTCATTTCTAGCAGTGTTTCTACATACGTTTCTAAGAATATCTGAAAAACAATGTTAACAACACATGCAATATCTACTGTTCTTATTCATATTATCTAGGGCGTCATGTCACCCCTGACCCTGCAGAGACAGCGCAGCATCACCCCCTGCATCACCGACAGAGACCCGCTGCCCGACTCCTCCAGCGACAAAGACCCTGGGTCGCCCAAGGTCAGCGAGGGCACCCCTCCTCTGTCTCGAGTCACGGAGCGGGGAGGCTCCTTCAAAGACGGAGGCCAAAGTCAAGGTCCGCCATCAGGTCATCCAGATGTAATGACTCCCAACATAGAGCTGCATGAGGGGGTGTAGTACGGTGGCTGAGAGAGCTCAATGCACATGCATCATTTTAGAGGGAGAAAAAAAAGCAAACGAAGAGAACAACTGAAACAACTCAAAGGTTGCATTTAGGGGGGGAAAGTGCTACATGTAAATAAAACATGAGCAAATTAAGAAACACATTCAACGATTTGGCGACATTCACGGCATAAAGAAAAACACAGAAGTGTACAAGGACTAGTAAAAGACTATTATTATTATTATTATCACCATTATACTATTATCTTTTTATTTATTTACTTTTTTACTTCTTTATTTAAAAGGCTTTTCACTCTTCACCTGCCGCTCTTAGCTCTCTGTCTCTGTCTGACAAAGAACTGCAGAGTGGGGGTTGAAATCATTTTGATGAATGATGTGATATGATGAATACAGACACTATTGGAAAGTGGCTCATCATTTTCTGATGAACTAATATATAATGGCTGATATTAGTGTTTATGTTGAGTCCAAAGAGGTAGCTTGCTGCTACTTGATCCCACACGCACAAGTGTCTCAGGTTAAAGGGGAATGACTCACAAAGTCTGGATAAATCACTAATTTGGTGTTTTTTAATAATAATTTTAAAAAAAATGTATCCGGTATATCCGGTAATATATATTGCTCATAATTGTTTCAAATTACTTCTACAGTGGGTGGACCCCGGCGGCCCCTGCGCAGCGTCTCCGGGGCCCCCCCTCACCGCGCGTCGGATTGCCTTCGCCACGGCAACAGCAGCGACGCCCGGGCGGTGAGGGCGGTGTGCCTGCTGATGGGAGGGGCGGCGGCCTCCTCCGCCCTGGGCTACCTCAACTCCTGCTCCCCGTCCTCCCCCTTCGCCAGCAGAGCCCCGGAGATCGCCCACGGCGCGGGGGGCTTCTCCGAGCTCCCCGCGGGAGGCTCCTTCCACGCCTGCAGCCAGGACGTCGACTCCCCCCACTTCAACAGCTTCGACTTCGAGGGGGACTCCGACTTTGATGCATTTGACTGTGGAGGATTTGCTTTTTAGTTTTAGACACGAAAGAGAGAGAGAGAGAGAGAGAGAGAGAGAGAGAGAGAGAGAGAGAGAGACTGAGACTGTTTGAGAAACCCTTTCTTCTCATCCTTTTGTGGTATTACCTTTTATAACACAAGGGCATCAAGTAATCACTCGTTTGTTATCGACGCCTCTAATAAATGAATGAAGGTGTTCTTCCTGGCCTTATGCCCATGCTCCTCAGGTAATCATTCATGACCTTGACTCTTGAGCACTGTCTGTGTTGTATCAGTCTTTCCATGCCACAGGACGGCTGAGGGAGCAGAGTAATGATTCCAGACACCACACAGATGTTAGTGACAGATGTTAGTGAGGCTGTGTTTCTCCGCTCATTGTCTCTCATCACTGTGTTCATTTTCTACTGTATATTTTGTTTTGTTTTTTAAAATTTGACCTCTGTGAATATTCTCTCCTCATCATTCTCTCCATTTCATTGGCACTTTGTTTTTGCCCCGCTTTCAGAAATGACCCCCATTACCCACCGTCTGCACATAACCTGAAATGCATTCCAAAGGTGAGCTCTAAATAAATCCTGCTGTCACCATGACCGTGCATTTTTTTTTTCTTGTGTATATGTGTTGTTTTTACACCGGGATGGGCGATATGTGCTGAGATCAACATTCTGCTCACAAACCACTGAGTGAAAGATGGAGCAAGCCTTCTTGTTGTCTTCCTTTGTCAGATACAAGAGAATATTTCCCCTCCTACAATGAATATTTCTGCTTAGAAGTCATTTTTGATCACCATGTACATCACTATATGTCATATGATTCCTGTTATGCAAAGCCTTGTTGCTCAATACTTGCATGATTGCCAACAAGGCCAAACAGCCAACTACCCTGCTTGCCCCGCCCCTGAAAGGAACACGTTGTGTGGGTTTGTAAATTCATGTTTGAGAATATGCACAACTAAAGCACGGGTGGGTGTTGCTCCTCTGTCTTTAAAGCTTTAAAATGAATTCAAATCTAGTTGATATTGTGCTCAGATTCTTATATATTCTCACTTCAAATAATTAACCAAAACCTATGCTACATCTCAGTACACCTCTCACAAAATGTCGTGCTCCTACCCACTTCCTGTTAAATGTATTTAGCTGTGCGTTATTGACTTATGAATTAATCACGAGATAGGCCTAAACATACACATTTGTTCCTACTATTCAAGACATCTAATGATATTAACTTCTTCTTGCGGTTCTAACATCACAGAATACTGGAATCTCTGGTTGGTTGTTTGCTTCGATATGAATCAGCTATAATGAGCTTGGAACCACAACACTGTTTAATAAATCCAATTTTCTACATTAGAAACACTTGTGCAGAAGGATTTAGGGAAATAAATCCTCACACCCGCTGTACAAAAAAAGTACAACGCTGCAGGCACGAGTCCCAAAACTGGAAATGAGTCAGCATTTTTGCACTTAACCGTGAATTTTAAAACTTCCAAGAAGTGTCTCAATGAGACGACAAAACATCATCATTAGAACACAAGTCCGCCTTTAGTTTAGCGGTGGCGACGTGAAGTCATGCGACTGTGCTGTAGTTCCTTCATAGCCTTATAACATTAGCTTTTTACTTCTGAAAGTGGAGTTCGTCAGGATTATTTTGCTGAAATAGCTTGTAAGTATGATGAACTTTTGTTCGCCACAAAGCTTATTTTCTGCAATAATCCAAAGGTAAAAATCCCATCGGCATTTTGTCGAGTAAACCAGTGCTAATCTTATTTTATATAAAACTAGAGAAATGACCCAACTGGACGTCCCCTCGCTCAGGGAATCTGTCAGTCTGGCTATTAATAATTACATTGGTTTAAGGTTTTATAATATGGAACCCTGCAGTCTTGGTCCAGTTCAGTGAAATTCATACCAACTTCCTGTCAAATATATACGAAAACGTTGTTCATATACAAAGCCAGAGACTGTCGAAAAAAGTAGTGCACTGCAGGAATGAGTCCCAAAACCAGGAAAGGAGTCAGCATTTTTGCACTTCCGTGAATTTTGAAGCTTTTACGTGTCTTAGAAAAGTGTCTCAACGAGACTACAAAACGTCATCACTAGAACACTCGTCGGCCTTTAGCTTACTAGATAATCATAAAAGTGGCGTTCATTTGTGACGATTATCTTGCTGAATAAACTAAGTAAGTATCATGAGCGTCTGTTTGCTACAGAGCTTATTTTCTGCAATAATCCAAAATCCTATTGGCATTTTGTCGAGGGAACCAGTGCCAGACTCCTCTTATTTAAAACCAGAGAACAGACACAATGTCTTCTCACACAGGGAACCTGTCAGAGTTTTCAATTGTAAAGTTCATACAGTATAACATCATTTTCTCTCCACAGACAACACAGTCAGGTTTTTGGGATCACAAAAGGATTATGGGATAGATGCAACGAGAAGATTAAACACATAGTATACATTCAAAGGTGTTTCCAGCTGTCGTCGTAAATCCACTCGCAATTCTCACAGATTTGATGCGAAATGACCAAATCCAATCAAACTCACCACATCCAAACAGGAACAAGCCAACGCCTCAGACACCTTCAGGAGAAATAAACTGTGACCTCACAAGTTAGATGCTAAGAGAGAGTAGCAGCTAAACAAAGTGCGGATCTGAATATTCAGCGAATACATAAAGCAATAGGCTTTCAGTCAAAAGAGTGCCAAAGCTTAGTTGGAGCTTTGCTCTTACACATTTATTCCTCAATCGGATCCATAAATTCTCATCTTCTGATGGCATGCTAAGTAGAATATGTTACATAACCGTTCAACACGCTGAAGCTCCACTCACCTGACTTACTGAGACGCAGCATACCCTATGTTATGTTAAATTACATTTTTGATTTGAGTGCAGGGTGCATGGTAAATCCTAGTGATGATCAATTTATCAGTTTATTGGCTGAAAATAGGAAAAGGCTGTTTCAGTGATAACTATTTCCCCTCGGCCACTTTGTATGTAGGTGTGTTTGACTGCTGTATGTGTTGTGTAATTATATGGCAAAAAGGCACCAGGCTTTATTTTCTTTATACCACAACGACTGGAGCTACAGTGCAGATGTTGTTTGTTTCCTAACATCAAATTAATTCAACCAATATTTTGATCAAAAGCCTGTTAATCCAGCCACGACTGCTGGCCTCTTGTTGGCCTCCTGGTTTCAACTTTTTTTTTTCAGCATGACAAGTATACACCAAAAGTCAACACTTCTGGTTTTCATATGAACTTTGAAACATATACACTTTTATTCCTTCTTGTCAATTTCTTCAACATCAATTTGGGGGACGAGAGAGGAAGAAAATGACTTATTGACCGTATAATTCAAGTCAGATGTTTGTTTGTTTCTCTCTGGCTCCAAGCCAATAAAAAGCAATAAGCAGGTGAAGGTGCACTAAAGCACACAGAGTCACGTGATTCACCTGTGTCCCTATGCAGCACCCCTGCCAACTCCCTGTTAAAAATAAACAACCATTCAGAAAGAAGAGTATAAGAGAGATCTGCCGACCAGCAAAGAGTCGAGAAGACGAGGCGAAAAAAGCATCATGGACCTTTCTGCAACAGTGATCCTGGCGGGGCTAATCTTAGCTCTGCTGTGGTTGTTTATAGTCAGAAACAGCAGGAAGTATCGGTTGCCCCCAGGACCCTTTGCACTTCCTCTCATAGGAAACCTGCCGCAACTGGACAAAAATGTCCCTTTTAAAAGCATTGTCAAGGTAAGAATTTCCTGCAACATTTACATTGATTTGATGTTGTGTAATACCTTATCCCGTAATCTGAGATGTCATTACTTTGGTCAGCCATGCTGAATTGAGCTCGTTGACCTTTGCACAAAAATAGTTTATGTTTTATGTTTATGACCCTAAAAATCTTGTCTCCTTGTAGTTAAGTGAAACCCACGGTCCTGTGATGACCCTCTACCTGGGCTGGCAGCGGGTGGTTTTTCTGGTGGGATATGACGCGGTGAAGGAGGCTCTGGTGGACCAGGCAGACGACTTCACAGGCAGAGGGCCACTGCCGTTTCTGATCAAAATGACCAAGGGCTATGGTAACTTCGAGACACTTCAAATCTGTCGTCTCTGTCAAGGGATCGGTGGTTTTCTCCACTGCTTATCTGTGCACGCATGTCTCTGGCTCCAGTTGGTCAACAAGTGACACATTTCTTTTTTGTTGTTCAGGTTTGGGGATCAGCAACGGGGAGCGCTGGCGCCAACTGCGACGTTTCACACTGTCGACCCTGAGAGACTTTGGGATGGGACGCAAGGGGATGGAGGAGTGGATCCAGGAGGAGAGCACACACCTGAGGGCCCGCATAGAGTCATTCAAAGGTGTGTTTGCAGCTGTTGTTTTGAGAGCATACGTTTCACACAGGGTTGATATGAAACGGGATTATTGCATTTATTTGTAAATGTAGTCAATTGAAGCAATGCATTCCTCAGAATGAACTGTAGTTCGTCCTTTGCCTCTAACTACGTCACCGGGTGCAGAAAAAACAGCTGCAAACTCAGCTTTCTTGATCAATATAGCACAAACTGAAGAATTGCTTGAATTGGCTACATAACGCTGATTGCAAATCCACAGAAATGGTGGCAGATTTTCCCTTTAAGTTGACTTTGTGCTGGCCTGGATCACAGCTTCAGTCCCAAAGAGTTTCTGACGTCCATGTTAAAGGACAGTAAAAGAAATGTGACCAAAAAATGTGACCTTATCAATCACAATGCCTTATGCATGTCCGTCAGATGGAGCCTGAACGAAATACACAAAGCCGACAGAAAGAATAATGCATGAAATTGGTCAACAACTGAAGAGAGAGTGTGTACTGCCATGCTTTGTTGGATTGCTCGGTGTGTTTATCTCTCTTGCTTCAGCTGCTTTCATCCTTATCTCTGTCTGACGGCGGTTTGTGCAAAGTAAACACAGAATGTGTTACGTAACCCACTAAACCACTGACAGATTGAAGATTTCAACTAGAGCATTTTAAACTGCATTTAAAGGCGCTATGTACGAGATTGACAGCATTTGTGATTGCCTCTCAATGGCTCTCAACATGGCGACAGCTGAGCCGGCGGCTGACAGTGCAAACTATGGCAAAAGTGTTTGCAGAGCTAGAAGTGTTTGGGTGCTACGCTCCCTCGACAACGCCGTTGGACGGAGCAGCGTTTTCAGTTGCACAGAGTAAAAGTACGAGGACAACAAAATGCAGTTTTAACATCTAACCAGAAGTGCAAAAATAAGCAGTAAGGTGCAGCGCAATTGCTGCTGCACGCTCACATGCACTGACATGCAATGAAAAGCATGCATCCGGCCCGGTCATGCAAACAAAGAATGGAGAAGCTCGGATTACACATCAACATGAACGTCAATATTTACGTGAATTTAGATAATACTGTCAATGAAGATCAATAAAAGTTAATGATTGAAGAAGAGTCTAAAATGAAAAAGGTTGTGTCAGAGGAGCCATCTTGCAAACACCCAGATAACTTTGTGCCGTGTGCACAGGGCCTGTGCTTTCAAGCTCAATGCTTCAGGCAATTCAAAAACACTGACATGGCAGAACCCGAGTTGAACAAATAAATAAATAATCAGTTAAAGATGCAAACTTTTCTCCCTGGTCACTGTTGACAGGTGGTTGTTAAAACGTCCAAAGTGAGCTGCACAACCCCAGCTAAGAAAAACATTGACATGGCAGTGTAAACGTCTTCTCAGTGGATTTTCCTTTAATAGATGAGTCCATTTAGGGTTTCCTCTTCTCCTCCAGACAAGCCATTTGACCCCACGTTCCTGATGAGCCGCACCGTGTCCAATGTGATCTGCTGTCTGGTGTTTGGTGAACGCTTCGGGTACGAGGACAAGAAGTTCCTGAACCTCCTCAGCATCATATCTGAAATTTTAAAGTTCATGAACAGCCCTGTCGGTCAGGTAAGCGGCTGATAGTCCATTATTTTAAAGTCTGGTTTTCACATGATCTTCTATATACACATTTTTTTTATCATCCCACAGTTGTACAACATCTTTCCCTGGCTCATGGAGCGTCTGCCCGGCCCCCAGCACACTTGTTTTGCCAAAGTTGAGAAGTTGAGAGAGTTCATCGAGATGAAGATCCAAGAGCACAAAGAGACACTGGACCCCAGCTCCCCGAGGGACTTTATTGACTGCTTTCTCCTCCGAATCAATCAGGTGGGAAATCGTGTTTTGTTCTCGGAACACGAGACCACAAAGTTCATCCTGGACTTTCATCTTAAAACTCCTGTAAAATAACTTTTAACATATGGCTGCTAAGAATGGATCTAATTTCTGGAATAAAACTGTATGACTATTCAAATTCTAACAAAGCATATGCCCAAGTGGGCTTCTGCCACCTGTTGCTTAAAATGTCTTTTTAAACTGTTGCGCATCTAATGGCACTTTTAACACTTTGTTCTCTCAGGAAAAGGACAATCCCAAGACCGAGTTCCACTATGAAAACTTGGTCTCCACAGTGTTCAACCTCTTCCTGGCAGGAACGGAAACCACCAGCTCCACCATCAGATATGGCCTCAGTGTGCTGATCAAATACCCGAACATACAGGGTAGGTCCCCGAATGGAGGACACAGTCATCTTACGTTACCTGTTCTACATTAAATGTTTTTTTTTGTACAGAGAAAATGCAGAAGGAGATTGACACTGTGATTGGACAAGGCTGTGCTCCCAGCATGGAGAACAGGAAGTCCCTCCCCTTCACAGATGCAGTTGTCCATGAGGTGCAGCGCTTTCTGGACCTTGTCCCCTTCGGCCTCCCTCACTACGCACTCCAGGATATCTCTTTTCGGGGTTACACGATTCCCAAGGTATTGGCGATCCCGAGATATATTATTCATTAGAGAGGGGGGAAAAGGGCATTATTATACTAACATCACGTCTTGTCTTCTTACTTTCTTTATATTTGTTACCTTTGGGACGGACAGATTATATAAAGTTATAATGTTGCGTATCATTTATATGCGGATGATATTCAACTCCGCCTTTCCTTCAAACCCAGTGAGGCTTTCAGGTTATCTCGGCTCCTAGACTGTCTCAATGCTATTAAAAGACAGGATGGCAGAAAATAGTTTACAACTCAATGCTAATGAGACGGAGGTTCTGGTTGTTGCACCAGATGAAGTTGTTTCAGGGTATTGGTCCACTCTCCTCTGCTGCCCCCTTTAACCTGCGTAATCTATGGGTAATATGTAACCAATCCATGAAGTTTGACCCCTATGTGAAGCAGCTGTCTCGATCTTGTTTTTTCCACCAAAGAAATAATTAGTAAACTGAGATCTGTAATACCAACAGCTGAACTAGAGATGATCATACATTCCTTTATCTCTTCTCGCATTGATTATTGTAACACACAATCCAGAATGCTAACCCTCACATCTATCACATACCCCGTACTCAGATCTCTTCACTGGCTCCCTGTAGCGTACAGGATCCACTTTAGAATGCTCACTCTCACTTACAGAGCACTACACGGTCAGACTCCTGCATATGTGGCTGAACCAGCTCACCCTCATTTACCAGCTCATGCTCTCAGGTCAAACGTGCAATTTTCTGTCACCTGTGGTGACAGAACTTTTGAGGCAGTAGCACTAAATCTATGGAACGCTCGGCTTGCACACCAATGGGTTTGCTGATTCTGTGAATTCGTTTAAAAATCAGCTCAATACATACCTGTGTTGACTGGCGTTTGGGTAAAATTCATGCTCCAGGTCTGCTTTTGATCTATACGTTTTTATTGTGTATTTCACTGTTTATTGTGATTTCTTAAATACGTTTTATGTTTTCATGTTTTAGTGTTCTTGTAAATGAGTGGCCCTTGTATGTTCACATTGTGTTATCTATGTTGTCTATCTTTAAAATATCGCTCCCGTTAAGCACTTTGTGACTTTTGTCTGTGAAAAGTGCCATATAACTAAATTTGACTTACTTACTTTTTTACTTTGTCTCAATAGGACACAATAATCTTTCCCATGTTGCACTCTGTGCTGAAAGAGGAAAATAAATGGGCGACTCCCCAGTCCTTCAACCCCCAGCACTTCCTGGACCAGAATGACAACTTCAAGAAAAATCCTGCATTCCTGCCTTTCGCTGCAGGTAAAACACGGTCTTCAGCTAATAAATCATGAACAACCCTGTATGGCTCTGTGCTTTACGTTAAGAGTTTTGCTTGCGAGCGCGGTTTGCCCATGACTAACGGGTACATTTTGTGTTAAATATCGTGCTCATTGCCCCTTCACTTTCACGAGCAGTAATATATTTCTAATAATGTTTGTGATTGTGTCCCTTCACAGGGAAGAGAGCCTGTGTTGGAGAGTCTCTGGCTCGTATGGAGCTTTTCATCTTCCTGGTGTCGATGCTGCAGAATTTCACCTTTTCCTGCGCCGGAGGCCCTGACAGTATAAACCTTGTTGCAGAGTACAGCAGCTTTGCCAATCTGCCCCGCACGTACCAGATCATCGCCACGCCGCGGTGAGACGAGGTGCTCCCCCTGGGCCGTCGATCATCGCTTGAAGCACCCTGAGTCCCCCATACTCAGTCTTTAATGTATTTTAATCAACTCTTTGTTCCTGTGTTACTTGTGAACACGCTTTCTACTGCTATTAAAATGTATTGCTACATTACTACTATAAAAGTACATACAAACAAATACATATATACATACAAATGGCACTGAATCACTTCCTGCTGTGAAAGAACCAACGAGGTAATTTACTCACTTGTGTCTTGAAGACATCGAATGTATCGTCTCTGTTAAAAACTTGCCAAAAGCTCTGCCTTTAAAATAAAGTCATAACATTGAAACACTCCTTGAAAGAGAAAACATATTTTCAAACACAAAATCCTTAGAAATTTGAACATTGGATAAAGCTTGGTTCTAAATTCTTGTCTCATTTTGTTGACATTTTAGAGTCAAAGGTTTTTACAGAGGGAATCTTGGATATCTCTTTTTATCACGCAATAAACCAGAGAATACCGCCATAAAAAAATCCTTTTTACCATGTTTTTAAGAATAATGTGTTGTAATTCAGCCAAGACTGACACATGAACACACCCCTCTGTAAAAACCTTCAGAATAGGAATGAAACTGGAAAGTTTGGTGTACGTAAGAGCTACTGAAGTGGAGATTTCTGGCTCAGAAAAAACTAATTTAGAGAAACCAGCCTTTAAGATATGTTTTGTAAAATGCATACATTTTGAGGGCACGACAGGTGAATAGGATAAAAAAACATAACTAACAAATATGAATATGAAACTTCCCTAGTTAATTACTCATAATGAGTAAATCATTTTTTGTATTACAAGTTTTCTGAAATCGTATATTTAAATGTAATATTCTATATAAATGTAATTGCACATTTTTCTTTAAAAAAACATAAACATACCAAGTCATAAAATGGTAGGACCAAACTGAAATATTTGAAACAATTGATTAAATAGAACAAGAAAAAAATATTTCTTTGTCTTTTATTAATTAATAGTAATGGAGATCAGCACTCTTGGTAGTCCCCTGATCTGATCCGCCCCGGACCGAACCAGCAGCAAAGGGAGCGCTGTGCACCCACTCATAGAACGGGGGTTACTCCATGTAACTCTGTTTCTCTTCCTGTTTACGCAGATCAACCCGCAAACTCGGCTAAAGTTTGACCGTCCGACCAGCAGCTCTGACACCTGCATGTATTTCTGTACTCTAAAGACCTTTAGTGCACCGCAGAGGACAGACTAGCACCGGTATGGAGTGGTCTGTCACGTTGCTTTTAGCGGGGCTCATCACTGCTTTGCTTTGGCTGTTCAGACTGCGGAGCCGTAGACGCGTTTGTTTACCTCCAGGACCGTCCGGTCTACCGATCATAGGAAACCTGCTCCAGCTGGACAAAAGAGCTCCGTTCAAAACTATGCTGAAGGTGAGAATGAGAAGTCGACAACTTATTGGTTTCCCAGTCTGTGATCATATATTCTCGCTGGAGTTATACATAAATAGTTATGAAGCAACAGTCCTGTCCCCATGACGTACTTTTATTTCCATTGCTGAGCTTTTTATTATTAATTATTGTCATTGTTCAACAAAATGCAGTTTGTAGTCCCATTTTGCTATATAAGAAAAAAATCAAATAGATAAATCATATATATATATATATAATATATGCAGCAGCAAGCACCTCTTGTCACCAATATCACTGATGCTCGGTAGATGGATAGTGTTCTGGACGGTTTAATCATGAGACATTTCATGCTTTACCTCTACTTTTGCAGATCTACATGTTTGTTGTTTTATATTATGGATGTGGTTTTGTGATTGGGAGTCCCAGGGCTTCTGTTTTGTTCTCTGCAGTGCGCCGGGTATGTTGACTTTCATTTGTTCCTTGCATGTCTGTACAAGACTCAAATGCATGCTTATTGCTCCCCAGCTCAGTAAAAGCTATGGCCCCGTGATGACTGTGTACCTGGGCTCTCAGCGCGCTGTGGTCCTGGTGGGGTATGACGCTGTGAAGGAGGCACTGGTGGACCAGGCAGATGACTTCACTGGCAGAGGACCTATTCCTTTCTTAATGAGGGTTACCAGTGGCTATGGTACTATGGGAAATTTGTCATGATATGTACCATAGAACTATGTTTGAGTACAACATACTGTGTCCTTAACACCAGGCAGCAATCCTTGTGTTTCTGGTTTCCTCTGGCCCAAAGTTTTAAGTCTCTCTTCTCTTGTATCCACATCTAACAATAATGTTTTTATCTGAATTTCCCAGTGGCTTTTCTGAGTCTATTTTTTTTTTTTTTTTGGAGTTTGAGTTTGGTTTCAGTCCGCTGTAAGAAGCGATAATTCTTTAGTTTCTTTCATATGTTATAGCTTGTGTTTGTAGCTTCTGACTCATTGTGAGGTTCTTCCAACTACCGTTTCTGCATCTTCAAAGGCTTGGCGATCAGCAACGGAGAGCGCTGGCGGCAGTTGCGGCGCTTCACCCTGATGACGCTGAGAGACTTCGGGATGGGACGCAAGGGGATGGAAGAGTGGATCCAGGAGGAGAGTACACACCTGTTGGCCCGCATAGATGACACCAAAGGTATGCATGTGTTTTGCCTTGTATGTTTGCTCCGATTGTGTATTTCTCATCAGTCATACACAACGCAGGGTCATAACTACAAACCCAAAATGCAAAGCTGAAGATGGAGCAGATGAAGGACAGAATAGTCCAAGTGGTGCTGGCTTTTTTTATCAGTCAGGCAGAAAGTTTTCTGAGTACCAGAGAAGCTCACAAGTCATCTTTCGCGAGTCCAAGTCGATGCATGCCATCCGTTCAGCTTCCAACATATCGCAGCTATACCGAAGGTGTTCATAGCATGCAGGCTACTGTTATCCTCACTCCTCTATCTACTCATTCTTTGGTATGTGATCCCTTTAAACGGGCTATTGCAATGCAATATGAAAAAGGAACACGCACAATGAAAACGTTCCTTTTCAGTAAATAACTGTATTTTTCCCCTAAAAATGGATATAGACAAACAGTTAGAGTTCTACCATATTGTATAATTCCACTGGGTCTCCAACTAATGACAGCGACCATCAATGAACACATTTCTCCAGCCTTTCAAACCTAGAGATGCTCACAAGTCTCAAGTCACCATGTGTGTGAGACTTAAGACCAAGTCCCCATCTCTACTTTTATTTTTTTCATTTTTTCCTCCAGCTACACCTTTCGATCCCACCTACTTCATGAGCTGCACCGTGTCCAACGTGATCTGCTGCTTGGTGTTCGGCCAACGCTTCAGCTACGACGACCAGCACTTCCTGTCCCTCCTGCAGATAATCAATGAGACCCTGAGGTTCAGCAGCAGTCCCTTTGGTCAGGTAAGAGGGGGGGGGGGGTTTCCCCTCCCTAACTACGCGTCTTTTTGTATACTCGCTCAGTCAGATTATTTTAGACCCTCAAGAATATCATCTATATAAGTGTACTATAAGGTGATTTGGGCTATCAGCTTTTTCTGTATAAACCATAAATCAGTGGAACATCCTACCTGATGGAAAAGGACCTAACTATTCTTATTTCGGTTTTTATCATTTTGATTGCATGGTTAAGATGTTATTGATATACTGGCCATGAATCCTTTTTTGTTGTGATTAGTTTTTAGTGTGCCCTGGAAACGTCTGTGTTTTGTGTATGTTAAAGTGGTGATGATGTTTGCTTAATTTGTTTTTTTATTCTAATTTTTGCAGTCTCTTGGCCACGGTAAAAGCTAGACTGCGTTCAAATATTCATTAAAAAAAAAAAAAAAAGTGATTATATATTTTCAGTTTGTCTTTTTTCAGAGAAAGATGCAGGCTGGTTGTGAAACACGCCATTCATAGGATTTCTCTCCCTTCCCAGCTCTACAATATCTTCCCTCGGTTGATGGAGCGGCTGCCGGGTCGACACCACAAAGTTTTCGCCAGAATTGAAAAGCTGAAGGAGTTCATAATCAAAAAGATCCAGGAGCACCAGGACACACTGGAGCCCGGATCACCCAGAGACTACATCGACTGCTTCCTCACTCGACTCAATCAGGTATGACCCAACTCGGTTCATCAAGTGGAAAAATGTGAACTGAGAGTTAGTTTCATTTAAAGTGGACATGTTAAGCATGCTGACTAGTTACACTTACGTATTCACTGATGCAAAAGCACATAGTCCCTCTAACAACAGATGGTTCTGCAAATACTGAGCACCTCAGACCGCTAGGTGCACAGCTGAGCTCCCTCCAGTGCATCTGAACATCTCGAACTGTGATCCTGCAGCAGGTGTTTTTGTATCAGTAAAAAAAAAAAAGGGCTCTTGTTTCGTTTCTTTAGGAGAAAGACATTCCCACAAGCGAGTTCCACTATAACAACCTGGTGGCAACGGTGCTGAATCTCTACCTGGCAGGAACCGAAACCACCAGCTCCACTCTCAGATTTGCACTGAATGTGCTGATCAAGTACCCCAAAATACAGGGTAGGTCCCAGAAACCTGTGTAAAAAGGTAGAAGTCAGTGTGCAGATTCTACAAGCCTAATTACTTTTACATGGAATATTTAGTTTAAACACATCTCTCAACTTTACAAGATCGTCACCGGTTGCATGTAATGCTGATGAAGCTGAGCATTTTCCACCTCCTCTCCATTCATTGTACTTCACTCTATTTGCCAGTCAGTGAATCGACTTAACTGTTTCAGCAGCGGTTAAATAGCTGTGTCTCCCTCATTCTGAAGAGAACATGCAGCAAGAGATCGACACTGTGATTGGACGGCAGCGTTGTCCTTACATGGAGGACAAGAAGTCCCTCCCCTTTACGGACGCAGTCCTCCATGAAATCCAGCGTCTCATGGATATCGTCCCCATGAACATCCCCCACTACGCCCTCCAGGACATCTCGTTCAGGGGTTACACAATTCCCAAGGTATCCCGATGTCGTCACATAAAGTGTTGTCGACGTTTTTTCCAGATGATATTAAAACGACTGTCTCGTCTCAACAGGCTACGTTCATCATCCCCTTGTTGCACTCTGTGCTGAAAGAGGAGAAACAGTGGGAGACCCCTTGGTCCTTCAACCCGCAGCACTTCCTGGAACAGAAAGGCAACTTTAAGCAAAACCCTGCTTTCATGCCATTCTCTGCAGGTAAATTATTAAGCAAATGTCCTTTTTTATTTTTTTTTTAAGACTCTCAGAGAATATGGCCGCACTTTTCTGAGCTCTGATGTCATCGAGAGAACAAACCAGTCCGCAGGCCATCGTCTTCCATTGATCTCGTATTCTTATTCTCACCGGTTTCTTTCTCAGGAAAGAGGGCTTGTGTCGGAGAGTCCCTGGCTCGCATGGAGCTCTTCCTCTTCCTGGCGTCACTCCTGCAGCGCTTCACCTTCTCTTGCCCCGGAGGACCCAACAGTGTGGATCTGAGCCCCGAATACAGCAGCTTCGCCAACCTGCCTCGCAGGTACGAGATCATCGCGACTCCCCGGCGCTAATGGTATTTTGATATGAGTTCTCTGTCCTGTAACTCTGAGGTTTGCCATGTACACAGCCGATAAATGCTGAGTTCAATGGTCTTTAGATTGAACTCCCCCTGCACAGAGTGGTTTCAGTGGTGCCAAAGCAAAAAAAAAAAAACAGGAATTATTATTATTTTTGTCATGTGAGTTTCCTGGGCTCTTGCCAATAAATATTTTGAGGGTAACATTTAAGACGGTGCCTTGTTGAACGAGTTAACCTAATCTATACTTGCCTGCTCACATCATGTTTACACATATTCTGTCAACATGTCCAGTGCTTGTATTGTAGCGTCATAATATTATTCCAAAATTATGAACATCTTTGTCATCTTCTCAAGATTCTCCGTTAATAATCTCAAATGTTTTAGCTTCAACCGAGGATTAAAGCTTTTACTAAATGTTAAAAAAAAAATGTATACCAAAGATTTTATGTCACAGTGGTGTTTCTCTTTTGCTGGACGCCGTCAGAATACACAGTGCACATAAAGATTAGTAATAATCTAAAATGATCCCAAGGAGCAGATTGTTCAGAGATGCACTCAACTCGCACCACATTGCTGCAGTAAAGTCCACTTTGCACTCTGTTCCTCGGACATGTGGCACATTTTGCCACAAGAGGGCACTTGTTCAACAGTTATCACTGTGTTGACACATCTTGAGATCTTCCAAAGTGCCTCTTCTGGTGTTGATTTAAAGAGTTGATTTGGGCCTTTTCTTTATTAGGTTTTCTCACTCTTTGCTAGGTTGCTTTTGCGGGAAAAAAATTATGAATCGCATTATAAAAACCTAAAAATAATTAGTTTACAAATTGATAAACAATAAATACTGGATGTTTCGTCCACATCGGTCATCCGGTGACTGACCGCGGCGTCAGCCTGTCGGTGTGTTGATGCATATTCCAGCGTATCTCTGGCTTGTGTCAGAGCAACAGTGGGATGGACGATGTCATAAGTGGGGGGTCGTTGTCAAACACTGAGGCTCCGATAACTATCATGGCAGGTTTTATTAAACGCTGATAAGACCCAGGAACTAACACATCCGGTACACAGCATTATATGTGGAACTGTGTTATGTAGTCGGTACTTTTTTAATGTTTTTTCTAACACAAATGTACGTGTGTACTTTAACCATGAGCTAACAAATGCTTTTATTCACTCTGTATTTTTTATAAATAAAATGTATCAGGAAATAAACATTATTATAAAGTGAATTGGTGTTGACTGAGCATCTTGTTAAATGGATTAATCCTAACATGTAGTATATATTTGTAGCCGATATAAACCTGATCATTTGTTGTCATTTACTGCGCCACAAACAAAACAAAACAAATAGTACTTTTGTCCGAGTGATGACGGCACAGTTGTGACTTTCATGAGCTGTTTAATATCATTTTTAAAGACAGGAAAACCCGACACTTACTATAAGTGTGTTGCCTAATTGCAACTGTAAACTATTGTTTGTTGTGTAAAGAATATTAAGCGATAACAAATGACAAATCTGAAAGTCAAATGAAAGTGAAAATACACTTTTTCACCGTCACACCAAGGATATTATTCAAATAATTGCTCAAAACATAGCACAAGTCCATCTCCCTCTCTCTCTCTCGGCTTTGCTAAATGTTGGGCAGGTGATATTTATGCTTCACCTGTTTCTTAACATCCGGTGCTGGTGAGATGTTGCTGTTTGGTAACTGAGGAAGGTACTGAGCCTAGAGGGAGGAAAGGGGAAGAGAGGGAGAGAAACTGGGTGAGATGACGCTTTATCAGGATGCCTGGCGGTAAAAAGGGTGGCTGTAGCAGCGTGCACAGCGTGTACGTTTGGGAGTCACGGGACGGTTTCTTCCACCAACGAGTTCCCGCGTTTTTTCCGTGCTTACCCCCGGCTGCCTGCGTCGGGAGCCCCTGTCGTGTCGTCGTCCCGGCCGCTCGCTCTCGCGGCCCCAGTTGGCTGCTTCCTCCTGGAAGTACGGCAGCTCCAGCAGCTCTTCACAGGACAGCCGGAGCGCGGGGTCCATCACCAGGCATGACTGCTCACAGGAAGACGCATAGATTTACACGGAGTCATCGGCAATGCCGGTATATAAGCCAGGCTCTGTCACTCATAAACATAACATACCTTCATAACATGGAGGGCGTGAGGAGACACACCATGGAAGCGCTTTTCCAAGGGCTCCTGAGAGCAAAAAAATAAATGTGAAGTAAGAACATACAACCACACTTCATCGCCTCTCTGTTGAGAACATGTGGCAGCCGGATTCGTACCGTCGTGTCGGGTTCAGGAATACTGACTCCACTGAAGAACACGTTGGAGCGGAACACCTGCTGGTGACGAGGGATCAGGTCACCTGAGGTCAGAGAGGAGATCATTACAATCAGAGTGTGTGTGTGTGTGTGTGTGTGTGTGTGTGCGCGCGTGCGGTAAACGGTTCGCAAACCTTAAGACTCAAAAGAAACCTCATGTAAATGTATATATAACATCTAACTATCTCCTTAACAATAAAGGGGCAGGGCCTGCTTTCTATACTGGTTCAACAAACCCACAAGAGCAATTGGGAAAGGAAATAGGAAGTCCAAGGTTCCTGTTCAGTGAACGTTTCTTACGGTTGCTTTCACACCTAACCTGTTTGATTCAGTTCACTGGAACTCTGGAGCATGTGCCCGTTTGGTTTTAGTTAGACTGGTGTGAAAGCTGTTAATGGTCAAACGACCGCACCGAGGTCGCTTGAAAAGTCTGCTTTCAAGCTTACTGGTGCAGTTTCTTTATGGTGGGAAAGCAAAGCAAACCAACCACAAGACTGAGATAGAAGATATGGTATTTTATGATTTTAAAAAAATGAACTATTAAATCCATCTGCCGATTGTGGGAACTGGACCCTATTTTCCATGTTTCTGTTTTTGTAAATGAGTAATGGGGACAATTTTTAAACTGGTCTAGTTTTGAACGCTGCAGCTGCAATGTAATTGCTCGGGGCCACTCCTCACCGTCAAGGAAAAATATATTTTTTTCTCTTTACCTTTTGCTTGATCCGGTCTGTTTGTTATTGTGTCATGTGAAAAACGGTGGAAATGTGAGTGAGAGTCGGAAAGAGGAGCGTCGGTGTTGTCGGATTTTGTTGTGTTGAAGTACAGAAAGCGTAGCTTAGTGTTATCTAGAAGATTTTCAATGTCGTGGCTGAATAATTGGCTGATTTCCACCATGTGGAAGCAACGTGAGATTTCAGAACGAGACCTCTCAGAGCCAGATGCAGATTAACCAACAAACTATATCGAGAGAAAACCAAAAAAAACAGTTTCATTTCTCTGTGGGGTTCTTTCCATAATGTTGGAAGACACTTCTAATAATAATCTGAGCTCGTCAGTGGCAAAAACGAGCACTTTTATTGACTACATTGACAGTGAGGAGTTGTCCTGAGCGATTACATTGCAGCCTGTTTAGCGGCTGCAGCATTCTCCTTCGATACTGGACCAATGTCAAAAATCATTGTTCCCGTTAGTCCCTGTGACGCAAAAACATGGGAAAAATATCCCAGTCCATAAATCCAGGTTGAAAAGGACCAAAGAGACCTTTTAAGAGAGCAACGTCATATGCGATCGGTATACTGTGGCCCCTCGGTGTACCTAGAGTTTTTCGGATGAGGTAGAGCTGGTCAACGTCGGACTTCCCGGGCCACAGTGGATTCCCGTGGAGCAGCTCGGCGAAGACACAGCCCAGGGCCCAAACGTCCACAGGGGGCCCATACTGAGTATCCCCCACCAGCAGCTCAGGGGCCCGGTACCAGCGGGTCGCCACGTAGTCCGTGTAGTCATCTTCTGGTCCTGCTGAGTGTGCAGACGGAGATAACTTGTAGGGACACGCACATGCACTTAGACGTCACATATTGAACACCAAATAACACGAGCGTCGTAGAGGAAGGGATTACAACGACTACATGTTAATGTATGGAAACATAACACCCGAAACCCAAGGCAGGAAGGGTAAACAGAGACACGCTAACTGGCAGAGCGGCCCACCTGTGCAATGCCTTCTTTATAACATTGAAAGTGAGGAGGCCATCGACAGGAGCCCGTTCGGGTCCCATGTTGAATAAATCATTAGAGATTAACACTAAATGCACTGGCTCTCTGGATTGACCTACTCAGAATGCGGGCAAAGCCGAAGTCGCAGAGCTTGATGACTCCGGTTTTGGTGAGGAGGATGTTCTCTGGCTTTACATCACGGTGGATGCACTGCAACACAAACGCTCGGCATCAAGGATTTAGGCAACGTGATACACAATCTCTTAGAGAGAGAGAGAGAGAGAGAGAGAGAGAGAGATGCTTATATTGCATGGGTACGTCAATTTGTGGGGTGAATCTATGAAATGGTTTCGATGGAGAAATGAAACGAGGTGTGAATACATTTTTCTAGAGGATGGATGAACATGTTTTTTGAGAGAATGAGGAAACGGGCCTCGTCTCTCTTAGGACCGTGATGCTTACTGCTGTTGTTGTTATTGGTTGGTTTTCTTATTTGCTGTATATGTTTACTGTTCATTTCATTGGTTCTACTTGTTAGTTTTCATAACATTTGTCACATGTTCGACATAAATTCTATCTGTCTAAGATTGCACGATCTTTTGAAAGATTCTGGGGAAATGGCAAACTGCTATCACACAAAAAACATGATCGAAATAATGCTGTGAGCAGCCACAGTCAGCAAGTTACCTACTTTAAAATATAAATGTTGACCTGGTTAAGTAATTAATAATAATAATAATAACAACTTGATATGGTATATGTAACGCAATGATACAGATACAAAGTCCTCATGTAGGTAAATGTAGCAATAAAGTTAAGCAGAGTAGTAGAGCAATATATACATAGATATATATAGATACTGTATAATGTTTGGGGAAAAATAAAATAGTCAACAGTAAAACTTCTTAAAACAATAATCGGATGTACACAAAGTACATTTTGTTGCTGTAGTCATTCGTGGACAAAATACAGTCGTCATTTTTTCGCATTCTGTGAATTAAAAACAAAGTGCCTTCTTCTGTGAGGCTGTGGACTTTGTCCCCTAGCTTTTAAAGACTTGTCCCACTGTGAATGTGTGACTGTCTAACCAGCATGGAGAGAGAGAGCAGAAACAATGTGTTCAATGCACTGTTCATACGGAAAGAAAGAAAAGTTCTAATCCAGTCTTGGAAACTCCAAATGTATCCTTTCAGATAAAAAAACATGAAACAAAGATCCATATTAAAAATGTGCTGACATTGTGCTTGTGGCAAAAGCTAACAGCTTGCAGAGTCTGCCACACGATGCTTTTCAGCTGAGCCTCCTGGACCCTGCAGAGGACGACACACAAAGGATTATTGATCGTCGTAAGAGGAACTCAACTAAAACCTTCTGCTAGACTTCTTTTCCTCGTCTATTATTTAAAAAACTAAAAACAGAAGTGGTGCTTTACACAGCACCTCGTGTCACCCCGGGTAACCTTAGGCCCGTCTCTAACGGCAACAGCGCCTTTGTTTTCTGGAGCAGCTAGAGTTTCTGCTGCACAGCCTTGTGGGGGAAATGGTCCGATAGCAACTGGCCATTGTGGCCTGGGCGTGAGCACTGTGTGACATCAGATGTCAAAAAGTACAAATCTGATCTTGTGACTTTAGATGTGTCTGAGGAGTGCTCAAAGAATGGAGAGAAAAGAACCATTTTGCTCTTAAAGTAGTGTTATTACAGCGAGGATGACCTCTGAGCGAGGCCAACGCCGTCACCGAGGTTTTGAACTCGGCGGCTCACGATACCGCGGGGGGAGTGAGCGGAGGGGTATTCAGTTGGTTGCAATCTGCAACCTCGCCGCTAAATGGCACTAAATCCTACACACTGTGACTTTAAGTAAAAGGAAGTATTATCAGTCAAATGTAACCAACATATAAAAAGTTACTAAAGTATATTTGTGTCGTTGTGTCTGAGAAGTAACTTGTACCTCACTCTCAACTATGGAGTAAAACGTACAATTTAAGATGTAGTGAAGTACAAGGTAGCATAAAAGGAAAGTACTTGACTAAAGTGCCTCAAAAGTGTTTTTACATTATGAGGAAATGTAAATTCCACCACTGCAATCTTGTCATGAATTTTGAAAAGAGGTACCAGCGAAATAGATAACAGATACGCTTCTGGAGGAGAGAGAAGGAATGTCTTCAGTTGTCTACATTTGTGGCCCTTCAGCATCTCCCACAACTCACGGACACGCCACGGCTGCGTTTCCCCAGACTTACCCTCGAGGGTGTTTGTCCAGCTCATTGAGGACCGTCTGCTCGCAGAACTCGAACACCAAGTGGAGCCGTCTTTTCCTCCTGAAGACCTCCAGCAGGTTGACCAGGTTCACGTGTTTCAGCTGCTGCGGGACCGACAGACACCGTGGACACGGTTTTTAGCGCTCGACCAGCACAAAATGTTGGACGAAATACTTAATTCAACCTATAGAGGATCTAAAGCATGCATCCTAATGCTGTCTTTATGGCTGTTATTTTTGTTTGTCTTCAGATTTTCTTCCACACATTGTATACATGTTTACACTTAGTTTTATTCTGTCTTTTTAAAAGTTTGTTTTCCAAAAACGTAAATGTTTGTCAAGCTCTTTAAAGCTGCCCTGTCTATTGTGTGTAGGCTAATTACACTTGCATGACCTCACAGTGTAACAAAAGATCACACGGCCTTGCTGCGTGCATGCGCACCTGTGAGCGTGCACAGTGCCCACTCCGCGGTGTTAGATGTGGGCCCAACTTGATACTGCGGGGCTGATGCTCTGTTCTCACCTTCAGCATGCGTATTTCTCTCAATGCAATCTTCTTGATGACGGGGTCGTCTTCAGACTCCACAAACTTCTTGATGGCCACTATCTGGCCCGTGTCCCTGTGTCTGCACTTGAACACCACGCCGTACGAACCCTCGCCGATTTTGGCCAGCTTTTCATATTTCTCCATCGGCAGTTAGCGGCTGTCACCTGTCAAGAGAGAAAAGCACGCTCGGCACTTCACCAAAATCGAATGGAATCCCCGAAATAAAATGGCATTAAGTGCGCATGTCTATTTCCTTTGGGGTTTGCAGTTTTCCTACAAACCTGGTCAAATGTATTTCTATTTGAGGGACATTCAGAGGATGTGTGTTGACAAAACCAATTCACGCCAAGTTGTAAGTGTCGCAACCAGCGCGAGAGGCGCACTCACCTGCGCAGCAGAATGTGAACGGGTCTCCTCATCGACAGGTCAGCAGCGAGTCTGCGGGGGAGTCCATCGAAAGTCCGCAAAGCTATAGCTTACATGTCCTCTGGGCGTCAATGCCTAGCGTGAGTATGAAATACAGTAGCTCAGTAGTGAGAGGCGGTCTCTCTCCGTCTCGTCCCGGTGCGTCGTCCCCTTGGTAACCCTCTCTGGTTGTTATCTCGCGTCGACACACAGACGGTCAGTCCACTGTCTCACTCTCGAGTCCTCGTTTTCGTATCGACACGACGTCTCATTTATTCATGAACACAGAGATAATAAGGACTCATTAGGACGTTTGACACTGCGCAAGAAAAAGAGCAACAGGTAACCGATATAGAGCCAATTCACAGAGCTGGCTACGTGAGTTTACAACGCGCGCGTGGATGCACGCTCGTTTTAACCAAGGAGACTGCTGGCTCAGACGGGCCAATAGGAGAGGTGGACGGTCGTTAAAGGGACAGTTCACCCCCCAAAAATGTTTTCCTCTTATCTGTCGTGCTGTATATTTAGCTAGAATGTTTTGGTGTAAGTTGCCACGTCTTGGAGATATCGGCCGTAGAGATGTGTCTGCACTCTCTCCAGCTTAACGGCTTGTGGTGCTTAAAGTGTAAAAGAATACATTTGAAAACCTCAACAGCAAAGTCTCTTCCAGAAACCATGAACTGGTTACTCAAGATATATAAGTTTCATCATGGCTCACAAGTCTGTGGATTATGAGTACTTTTGCTTTTGGTACTTAAAGTGGCAATCTCTGAATATATTCATTTAAATAAATGTACATTCAATCACTATCTATCGCTGAAGGAGGTCACACAGTGGGGATTGAGCCTATGGCCCATTGATGGAAGTATTGCGAAATTCATTTATTTACAGTATTATAAACTGGGTGTCTAGTGACATTCCCAGAAAAAGAAATACTGTATTACAGTTTTTCTCCGTCATTTACACACAACAAAATGGAACTATATGTAGACATTTCTAAAAAACCGCAGACCAAGACCCCCAGACTGTTAAACTCTTTTCACTCAAACAGAAATGCTAACTGAACCAGGACTGAAATCTTAATGATTTACGTACATTTCGCTGATGACACCTCTGTACTTTTACTTGAGTATGATTTTAAATGCAGGTCTTTAATTTTGTCACCGTCTGTCTGTCCCTCAGTCCCTCCTCTTCCTCCTCCTCCTCCTCCTCCTTCTTTTCCTCTTCCTCCTCCTCCTCCTCCAGCTACATCCCCTGTTCCTCAGGCCCCTTTATTACCATTTTCCATTCATCCACAAGATGCCCTCAGACTTTCCTTCTTTTCCCCATCACCTGACTGCCCCACCCACCTACACACCTGTTTCCACCCTCGTCAGCCCTGTGGTATTTAACCGCTCTATTTCCACCGTTTCCCTGCAAGTTCGTCCAAGTTGCTAGGTTGACTTTTGCTTTTGAGCCTCTGATCCCTGTAGTCCTGTTACCTGGAACATTTAGTGAAAGTCTTTGTATTTTTATGTTGTTTTTTTGCCACTTTTACTTGACTAAAAGATCCCTTTCACTGAAACACATTCTGTACTTTACACGCTTGTCCATTAGTATATGAGCCGTTATCAAAAACAAAGTTCCAGAGAGCGCCTCACACCGCTGTTGAAAGAAGCTGCAGCGTCGTGTCACTCTGCCACAGACATGACCAACTCTGATGTGGTTGCATGATTTATAGACTATTCTGTTCTCTCTGTTGACTGTGAATATTTTTTCCCCCAGTGTCCCTCCCTCTGCTCGTCTGGCCCAGAGACTTTGGGCTTTCCCGCAGCTCTATGGGATCCTCTGCAGAATCACACGAGATGTCATTTAGGGCCTCACGGCGAATGATGGGAAAGCGGACCGCGTTGTGCTCTGGAGACACTCACCTTGACACCTTGAGGTGCTGGCATCGAGGGCCTTGTGGGTGCAGGATATGAAATGGCCGATGGCAGACTGGCGAGGCGTGTCGGTTGAACGGGGTCAGTGAGGCACGTATAGGTTGTTGTCTTTAGAGGCCCGTTGCGGTACGTTAGAAAACCACCGGAGAGCAGAGAAAATACAGTAGGTGGGTTTGAATCGGGCTTTATCTATTTGCAACTCGTGTGTGTGTTCAGTGGCTTCCTCTTTTATCATACTCTCTTGGTCTAATACTCAGAGGCCCTTCATTTTTATCCCAAGATGCATCTCTGGTTAAAGGAGCTATGTTAATAACCAAAGCAAAACCGCTGAGGCCGTCGCCATCTTGGTTTTTTGCAACCAGTGAATATATTAAATATAGCAACCATATTTGGACTGCTGAGGAGTGACGCTGTGGTAGAGACGCCATATACGGCTCTGGTAGCGAACTGTCAATCATAAGGTAGCCCCGCCCCTAAATCATTTACTGAGGGAACAGACCGAGTGAGAAGTAGTCATTTTCTCATAGACTTCGATACAATCTGACATCTTTTTAGAACCAGAGGAGTCGCCCCCTGATGGCTAGTGGAGAGAATACAGAGAACCAGAACCAGAGGTTGCCGCCTGGTTTCTCCACAAAGAATTACACAAAAGCACCACTTTAAGTCTTGTGTTTGCCAAAGATGTGCTATTGGAAAAATGCCATCCAGCGTGAAAAAAAAGCATAAAAACGACTTAAGGAATGTTGGTTGACTAAGACCAAATCAACCGATTAGTCAACTAATGGACTAAGAGGGAGCAGCCCTATTTATATATATATATATATATATATATATAGTTATTTTATCTCTCAGACAAAATTATACAGAAGGAAGATGTGTAATTGACCTTTCTCTAACTCAATACTGTTATAATAGTTGTGTACATTTGTAATGGACAATTATTTTGTGAGAAAAGAACACAAGTGTGGATCAGAAAAAGATGACTAAATATTTCAGGCTTGAAGTTGACAGTCAACCCCCAAAATGCACCATCTCTGGCCACCAGGCGGCAGCATGCACCCACCAGAGCTCCCACAGACCAACACACAAGTTAGAGTAGTAGTTGTTGACGGTTTAAAGCCTCACTCGTATTAGTCTCACCCTGGTATAATTAATGGTAATCAGAGACACCGTGCTGTTGGCACGGTGGGACACACTGTTGGTGTCTTTGTCTGAGCGATCATCTTGTTCTGTTGTTATCATTGTTGGTATTTTAGGGGATTTCTGCTTTGAGTTTCCCTTTGCTAAATGTCACCGTTTGTTGCCAGTGTTTCATGTATAGCTCATTCTTCATAGCTGTGAATGGAAGACAATAAACAACCAGGGGAAACACTTTTGGGCAAAACCTAAAGGAAAATAAAAATACCAAAGCCTGAATACTATGTCCATCTACTATCTGTACTTCCCTGTTGAACCCTCCCTCAGACAGAAACAAAAGCATTACAACCATCCTCAGGTTGTTTTAGTCTAGACTTCCTTTTGAAAATACACAATCCAACCTCTAAAAAAGGCACCCAGACGTATGTCAGTGCGCCGCACGGTCCAGCCCTGTTGGCATCTCCATCCCTTGAAATTCACCCTTCTACTTTTAGACACGCCAGCCCCAAGTGGCTCAGATCCCTGGGCCTGGCAGCCCTGCCCGCCTTCACAGCCACCAGGTAAATGTGGCGGTCAGTTGGCGGCACACCAGTGCCATGCAGGGCCTGTTGACACGGTCGGCCAGTGGCAGACAGGCCAGAGAATGTTAGGGAGCCGGTGCCTCTAAAGTCAGTCATTCAGGGTGTTCGGCTCCTGGCTTCCTGGTGTGGACAGAAGGCAGGCAGAGCTCTGTTGAGCAGCAGATGTTTTACACTGAGGCCGTTACCCTCATTTCCTGGGCGGAGAGCTCCTCGCTCTATTAGACGAGTAACAGGAACCAGAAAAAAAAAAAAGAGGAGTTAGAGGGAGAGAGAGAAAGGCAGAGCGAGGGAGTGCAAGAGAAAAGTTAGCTGAGCTCCCACAAATCACTTTGTCACCAGCAAGCTCTGACAAGCACCAGGAGAGAGAGAGAGAGAGAGAGAGAGAGAGAGAGAGAGAGAGAGAGAG